TAATTATTTATTTAAAAAAGGTTTGACAAATGTATTTCCATATAACATATTCCAACATTTGTAAAATTAATGTAATAATTATAGAAGGGATATTACTTCGCGAGGGAGTTAATTATTTCCGATCTCGATCTTGACAATGCATCTCTCATTTTTATCAAAATAATGAGAAAATATTGTTATATTAAAAAAATTTTTATAACAAAAATAAAATTATAAAAATTCCGAAATTTTTTTTTGTTTGTTTTTAAATAAAATTATAACAAAAAGAAAAAATAGTACAATATGAAAGGTGACTATTTAAAAATAATTACTAATTTCACAAATTTTCATTGTGATCAAAAAATTATACCAATATACATAAATTATAAACTCAAAAATTTATTGCTGTTATCGAGTGAATATATTTATAATTAATGCGAACAAAAAATGGATGTATCACCTCTATGAAGCATAACTATATACAACAAATATATAGCAAAATTCGTCTGCTTCATTAATTTATTGAATTTCAAACAGATTTCCTATATCGACACCGAGTGAAAATTGATTTGTTGAAATAAATATATATACGGCGTTTTTCCTTATAATATAAAATTTAATTATTGAAAATATAATAATTAACGAGAGAAAAATTCAATTTTTTGTAATTAAAAAAGAGGATTTTGAACTGCAAAATTTTTTCATATTTTTTTTTTATGCAAAAAAAAATAATTTGCAGAGTGTGTTATCAAGAGAGAAAGAGAGAGAGAGGAGGACTCCTGCGTGTAGCCATCACAACAACGTTATTCGCGAACGGAATGGAAATGAACAAGCGAGTACCCTTCTATATACACAAAACCACCGCGCGCGGTTCGCGATCAATACTTGCTATGCAAGCACACGAGTCGAAGCACGTGTTCAGTGGCCGCTTTGTTTTTTGCCCTGAACCCGCGCGCCACGAATACCTATATATATTATTATAAACCCCCTTTTAATAAATTTATACTTTATCGATGGTGTAATTATGTCGAAAATTAATTGTAAATTAATAATAATAACAATTTCAACAATTATAACAAACAAAAAAAATATACTATACAGTCAAAACCTCGTTTAGTTGAACCTCGATAAAATAATGAAAACCTGGACTAATGAATATTCTCTATACACTGATAATTATATAAATATAAGAATTTTCGTTAAGCACGGAAAAAAATCTTCATCTGAAACAGCGATATGTTTCTCTAGAATAGCGAAAACTTTCGTGAAATATATCGCTGTTCCAGTGAAACTTATCACTGTTTCAGGTGAATTTTTTTTTTCCGTTCGTGGAATAATTAAAAAATTATTCTATTCTCCAATAATAATTAATTAAAATAATTTTAAAAAATAATAATTTTTAATAAAAATTAATTATCAATTAATTATAATAATTTATTTATAATTATAATTTTTTTTGAGCCTTAATGCAGAGAGATAGTAATAAATATATAATTATATAAAATTCCAGGAAGAGTAAATAAAGAATTATTTAGAAAATGAATAAATAATAAATTATTTTTTATTAATCCAATAATAATTAATAAAAAATAAAATTATTGAAAATGTTTACAAAAAAATGTATTAAAAATAAAAAATGAAATACATGTCTTTTTCTACTGAAACTCACCCGCCGTGTGTCTAACCATGACATTCTGTTACCACTTGAAAATGCTCATCCAAAGCACCTTGCGCTTAAGTGGAAACGGAATGCTCTGGTCAGACGCAGACAAGTTATTGCACTACTACTGAAATAGCTGGAAACATAACGTAAAAAAAATAACGACTGTATTTTTTGAAATAATAAACAAATTTAATTTAATATTTAAATGAAATATTAATATTATTTTTTAAATAATTAATATTTATATTATATCGTATTTATATTTATATAAATTATTTAAATAAGAATATTATTTATTTAAATGTATATAATAATTTTAAGAAATATTTATTTCTTTAAGAAGATTGATAATGATTTTATTTCATCATCTCTGATGGACCATTTTATAAGACTTTTTTTTATATATAGAAAGATTCTTAAAATAATGGCCCGAGGAAAAAGGCATTTAGAGAGAGAGAGCATTAGTTTCAGGGTTTTACTTGGTCGGTAATCGATTTTCAAGCAAGGACGAGTAATGGAATGAAAGCTGTTTTCGATCTAAGTGAATGATATATATACGCATAATGAACGATATGGTAAAGTTTTTACTCAATTTATACAATGGTAATATATCAATATACATCATATTTATTATAATAAATTATATAATATTTTATCAATTTATGAGAAAAGCAATTTGGACAAAAAAAAAATTGTTTTGTAACCGCAACCCTAATATAGAAAATATAATTCTAATTTCTAAATGAAATTTCTAAATGAAATTCTAAATGAAAAAATTATATTAAATTTTAATTAAATAACTATTAATTATTATTGAATATTAATTTTTATAAACCATTTGAGTTTATAAAAAATGAGATAAATTGAAAAAAATTTATTGAAAATTCCATTTTATAAGAGGAACAAAAGTATATATATGAATGACAAGGAAAAAAAATATGTTATAATCATTGCCATATATGATAGTAAATTGCCATCTTGCGGGTAAAGTATTGTTTCTTAAATTTCAATGGAATAACGAAACAATTGTAATGCTAAACGGTATGCGCACAAGTTGGCAAAGAAAACGCTTGTAAATGTGTATCATAAACTTGTATCACGTAACCAGTAATACAATATCTTCACTATGAATCTCAGCGAGTGGGATTATTTTTAAATTTCATATCTAAATTTAATATCTAATTTATCTTAAAATTCTATTTTTATAATAAAATATTTATTATATAAAAATTATTTATTATCTTTTATAAAATTATTTTTTATATGCGATAATTATTTTATTTACAAAAATAGAATTTTTATGTAAACATTATTTTTTCCATAAATTATAATTTTTCTCAACAAATTATATTTTTTTAGATTGTAATGTAATAAAAAAAAAAATTGGGTTTTGTAAAAGCTCAAGATTAATTAAAAATTTTATAATTTTTTTTAATTTGCGGTGTTAAATGCTAAGGAATGGAAGACGAAAGAATGTAATTTTGAGAGAGTTCAAAGTACAATGAAGACAAATTGTCTTCAGCTATATGTTAAATATAAAGATTGTATAGAAGGTGAACTCTCTCTCTCTCTCTCTTGGCTATTGAATATACCGTATAGGCTCGTGCGCGACGGAAATGAATTAATTTAAAGGACAGACTGCGGCGCTACAATGATAACGGTGCTATTAGAATAGTATATAGCGTTTGCTTCAAGAGCCAAGGTCGCGTATCAATCTTAAATCCGACAGAGAAATGCACTCTAGATCAGGGTCAAAAGACTATTTTTCCACCCTCCACCCCCATCATAAAAATTTCAAAAAACGAAAAATAGAAATAATATTTAAAAAAACAATAAAAAAATTTAATCTTACAAGACATTAAACTATCTTACTTTTTTTAAAGAAAGTATTATTTTGTCAGTCATCATTTTAATTCCAGTATAAAAATTTTAGAAAGATTTGTTTTATAATAAAAAACAAAAAAAAATTTTCCGCAGTTTCTTGGAATTTCTAATCACATTTGTTTGAAATGGTAAACGAAACAAAAATTCCACTCACTTCCTGGCAAAATTTATAGTTTTGGCACGCAGACTGATTTCCAATGAAGCTATATACGAATAATAATAAAATTAAATTAAAACTCGATTTTCACTGAGATCCTTATTCTCCTTATTATCATTTTACTATATAGAAATGTTTTAATAAATCATTGTTAAATATTTTTTTTCTAATTTAAAAAATTTTCAATTTTCATGATAAATAAAAAAAAAATTGTGAATTAAAAGCACATTATAATTTATTACCATCTCCCTAATATTTATATGGTATAATAATCCTTATCTTTAAAGACAAATTCAAAGTAAATATTAGGATTTCAAAAATTAACGATTCTACATTTCTTTTCTTGTCTAAACACATTTTTAATTATGACGATAAAGAATTTATTCTACAAAGAATGAATAATTAATTTTTACTGCAATTTATTTAAACGTTTTATTATTACCTTCTTTGTGTTGAAACCTTCAAGTTTTAAATATTAATTATTGAAAGTGAAATTTAAAAATTTGATAACGATTCAGAATAAAAATTATTAAAATGAGTTTTATATTTAAATAGTTCGATAAATCAAATTTAAAAAGATTTTTCTAAAAAATATAGTGAATTTTTTTTAATAATATTTCTTTAAAGTAGCAAACAGCTATTTAGCTCTACTTTCAATGTCAATAAGATAATATTTTTTTAATCAAATGACAAGTAGTAAAAAATTTTGTTCGAAATATCAAATTATATATAATTACAAAGAAGATACACAATATTTCATTTCCCTTTTATTTAGTATTTCACAGTCTAATAGAAATTGTTTCCAAAAAAAAATTTGATGATTAAAAACGAATTAATTCTTATATACTAATGACAAACGGAAATAACAAAATTAAAAAAAAAAATAATTAAAAATTTTTACCATATCTTATATAAGATTTTTAAATTCAAATTCGGAAAGAGATTTCCATATTAAAAAAAAAAAATTGAAAATAATAACGTCATTTTTTAAATAACTCTCTCGTTTTCTATCTTCGAAACAACACACTCTGCTATTGAAAAATTTTTTGCGACACAAAATCATAAGGAAGAAAAACGAAATAATATTAAGAAAATGATTCGTCCAGAGTCATGTAATTTATTTTTCACAGCTCCTGATGATGTATTAACAGGATGCACTCAAGGTCACATGTTCGATGATTGTGTATATTGCATGAGTACTTCCGTAATTACTTGTGAAAATTAAACATTGAATTATGTGATGAATTATAAACACGGACACGATCTTTATGTTACAAGGAGTATGTCATTAACCCTTCGTTACTCTTACGCCCACATCCCGTTCCAATGTCTTTATATAACCTTACGATTTTTTTTTTCAAAATACATTTTTCATTAAGCCACTGGATCATTCAATACAAAACTCGTATCAAAAATGAAAGGATTTGGATCTACAATTGTATTTTGCATTTTAGTGCAAATCGCATTTGGAAAGGTATTTTCATTCAATTATTATTATTTTACTCCTAATTATTATACTAATTAATTAATTAATTATTTGTGACTAAAAAAAATTAATTAAAATTTATTAAATTTTTAAATATTTCATATTAATTAATATTTAATACCAATTAACATTAATTAATAATAAATATTTTTAATAATTATAATTAACAAATATTTGATTAATTAATTCGTTGTAAAATAATTTAATAGAAATTATCACTAAATTTTTATTCATTAAAAACTCTTCAAAATTGATATTCTTTACTCTTTAATTTTTATTTTACCCTTTCTTTTATTTCTTATTCCATTATGTTAATTTTTACGTTTGAAATTTTTTCGGTTTATATAATTTTGTTTAATTTTTTGTTTCTTTTTTCATACTTCATTTTCATTTTATTCCTTTCTATTGTTCAATTTTCATTTATTTATATTTTAATTTTTTTTAACCCTTATAATTTACTATTTCTTCATATTTCCCTTTATTGTTTTATTTCCTATAATATATTCTTTACTTTTAAACATTTAAAAAAATTAATTAAGAAAAAAAATTTTTTTAAAGGGGAAAAAGTAAATTTTTTTGAATAATTCAAATTTTCAAACTCATTTTAACAAAAAAATTCATTTAAATCTCAACTATTATATAATTAATTCTAGATACCAGAATGGCTCCCTCCAGATATGATGGACATGGTTCAAGGTGATAAAAATAGGTGTATGAGTGAACATGGAACATCACAAGGTAGAGAAAATTTTGATATTGTCAATTGAAATATTAAAAATCAATGTGAAAATAATTAATTTTATAATATTTGATAAAAATAAATAAACTAAATCAAATTTAATATAATAAAATGAATCAACTATAAAAAAATCAATAAAAAATAATCAATTACTAATGTGTTATTGTTATAATTATTTGGAATTTTTTACAGCTGTAATTGATGATGCTAGTGAAGGTAAATTTATAGAAGATCGCAGCTTATCGTGCTACATGTACTGTTTATTCGAATCTTTCAGTTTGGTAAAATTCTTTATAAATTCTTATCAACACTGAAAAAAATTTTTTTTTTTTTTACTTCATCTTTATATGTAATCAGATAGTTGCCTATTTAAATCAAAAACTTAAAAATATTTCTTTGATATAATTAATAGGAAAGTAATCGTGGATTTGAATAAAATAAAAAAAAAATTTTTTCCGTGTTTTTATCTTTAATTAAATTTTTCTAATTTATGTTTTGTTTTTTCTTTTTTAATAAAAACTAAATTTTTTTTTTATGTAACAGGCAGATGAAGATGGAAATGTAGATGCAGATTTATTAAGTAGTTTAATGCCTGAACACATTCAAACTGCTGCTTTAGATGTATTTGGAGCCTGTGGTAATGCAGGTACAACTCAATTTTTAATTTTTAAATCTATAAAATAATTATTTTTTTAAATTAATATTTATTTTTTTTAATTTCAGCGGGATCCGACCCATGTGACAAATTTTATAAAATGGCCGTATGTGCATATGCAAAACGACCAGATGTAAGTGTAAAACAATTAATTTCCTATATAAATACTAAATTAATTTTAATTAATTTATTTATTTTTTCGCAGATTTGGTTCATGATTTAAGAATTAATATCAAAATCAACGAATATTCCTTTTCAAATAAAAAAAAAGGAATAAAATGAGAATAGAATATTCAGTGAATTATTCAATTAATGATGAAGATTTAGTTAAAATGTAAATTAAACATATTTATTTAATTTAAATTCTTAATTAAACTAAATCATTATTTATCAGGATTTATTAATTTAGTTTTAGTTAAACTGAATAAGGATTTATTTACTTTTAATTTTAATTCAAATTTATATGTAAATTTAGGAATGACATGTCCTATTTATTGTAAATAATTAATAAAGAATTTTTAAATTCGGTTTGTTGTGATTACAAAAATAAAATTGAAAAATTTATATTCCTAATTATATAGACTGAATTAAATTATTTTATTATATATTAGAATTTTAAAAGCAACATCTAAACTAATCTATAACGCCTTTCTATTAGGAATAAGAAAAAAAAGAAAGCATAAAACAATTAAAAAAAAATGTTTTAAATATTTTTCTCATGCGATTCATTACTACTAGAACATGCTAATTTTTTTTGTGTGACATTTTTCCACTACATAAAATTAAATTTAATTCAACGATAATAACAACATCAATGACCAAAGAAAAGAAGCCTAAATAAAGTGTCCGCATCGAATTTTCCATGCTTAGTGCATAAAAAGACAAAAAAAAAAAAAAATAATTTAATAACGAATGCAAAAATTATAATTCTTCCAATGGTCTGAATTGAAAATAATGATTATTTTATCTCACTGAAATTACATATATAATTAGACAATTTTAATTCATAATTTCAATTTTTGTCCTCTTTTTAGTATTTAATAAAAAAAAGTAGAACACAAATTTTTTTTTTCTCTACTTATTAATATTGTTTGAAAAAATAACAACTAAAATAGAAAATCCCAAATAGTGTTAGAAATAATTTGAAAAATATTCTTAAATCACAATGATATATAAACGTATAGATTATGAACGTATATATTAATTAAGGTTATCTATACATTATTCAATTAGCGCTTGCATGTAAATTTACTTAATCAACTTTATAAATATTGATTTTCTTCGAGAAATAATTTTTTGTTTTAATAAATTTCGTATATTAAATTTATATATATTAGAAATTTTTTTTTTTCTAAATAAATCGTAATTTTTTCATTTATCATAAAAAAATTTGTAATTCTAATAAAAATTACATTTATTATTATTAATTAAATAAAATTTATTATTAATTATCAATTATATATATAGTAATTTTAAAAATAGAGATAATTTAATTTTTATTATAAAAAGAAAAGACCATTGGAAACTAAGAACAGCATTTTTGTGGTACAGATTTTGAACAAATAATCAGTACCTTAAGATCGATTGAATGAATAGCGGCGGAAGTCCCGGAGGGATCTTTAGCTGCATTGATGTCGACATTGTTGTTAACGTTTGGCAGCGAACCTCCGGGCCTGAATTGATTACCCAAATTAATATGAAGGTGTTTGCTGCTTGATTGTGGCGGACTGGCCCCGGCACTTTTCACAGATAAAGGAGCTTCCGGTACTCCGGAACCAGTAGGACTCGCGCCTACAGAACTGCTAGCCGATGCCACCTGGGAAGTTCATCAAAGAACATCCTTTTGTCATATTATACCAACGAGAGCCAACCAAAATCACATCCAATTATTATTACACATCTATATTAAGCGAAGAAAAATCATCTGCCAGAGATAATATTTTTTTTTTTCTAAAAAAATATTTTTCAATAAAAAAAAAATTGAGATTATTTTTCTTCGTATATTCTTCAAATCCAAAAAACGAATAATTATTTTTCTCAATATTTTCTTTTTTTTGGTGGCAAAAAGAAAAATAAAAAAGTAAATCATCGAAACACACATAATCTAATTTGTAAAAAAAGTTTCTGAAGAACCTAAAAAGAACTTTGGAAAACGAAAAAGAATTCCTAATTTCACTCTACTCTCGTTAAAGGAGGCAATAACATTCCCTTTTCGCCTCCACTAACTCTGTGTTTATTTTATTCAACAGAAAAATAAACTTTGGTTAATAAAACAATCTATTTAAAAAGAAAGAGAGATGTACGAAAAAATATTATATATATAATCTTAAAAAATCGTAAGAATAAATAAATAAAAACAATTTATAAACTAATTTCTAACAAATTTTTTTTATTGATCAATTATTGATCAAAAATTTTGAATAAAATAAATTGGTAAAAAAAAATTATTAAAAATAGCAAAAAGTTATTAACTAATTTTTAAAATTAGTTGAAAAGGTTTTTACTATTTAATTATGAAATTTTTAATTACCATTCAATTTGAAATAAAATTAATCAATTTCAAATCAAATTGGTATATTAAAATTAAAATCTTCACTGCTGTTCTTCATTTTATAACTCGCTGAAATTGACAGTCCAATTTTATTGATTCGCATTCAAAGGGATAATTTTAATTAAATATATGTAATGAAAATTGTGAATGGAAATTCATTTTTTTCTTTTATAATAACGAGAAAGATATGTTTTCAATTGAATGGCACGAAATAAGCTATTCATATATTGAAAAATAATAATGGTAATAATATATATATATGTATAGGTATATAGTAACGCATCGTTAAACCGTTCAATGATCGGTCCATTTCGTTTCACTTCAAATGATATACTTCATTGCATTCAATAATTGATCATTCTTAATTTTCTCAATTTGCAAAGGTTCTATTTTATTCTTATTTATATAATAAAAAAACAATTTTTTAAAAATAATATATTTAAATATCAAATTTGACCTAATTTAGATAAAAATTAATTTTCTGTGATAAAATTTTCAAATTGAATACTTTGAATTACAATTTTTGAGTAGTTAAACATAAATTCGAATTTGCGGAAATAAATTCAAAAGATAAACAACGTGAACATGAGGAATATGAGATACACAACTGTTAGTATCGACTGAACATCCGACGGATTATCTCTTGTCCAGAAACATGCAACTCCATTTGTCGATGTGTCCACATGCAATAACACACATATACATATATATATACCGCCTTTAATAAACTGAACATGAATTATTCAAAAGAAAAATGTGATTCTATTCCAGATTTCTTTAAAAAAAAATCAAATAGAAATTGATTATCAATTTATTTTCCTTAAATAAAGAATTGATAAAAATTATCCCTTTATAGCAAATTAATTTATATCAATTAATTTTTTTTTATTAATTTTTGTTATATTTTTATTATTTTTCCTTTTATCTTTTTAATACTAAAGTGATAAAGTATCTTTTTGAATGACTTTGAAAAAATGTTTATTTTTAAAATAATGAATCTTATTGTTATTAATGAAATAAATTGTCGATAACGTCTAGTGACATTCTTTCTAAAAACTGAGATAACTGCAACACTTTATTAAAACGCAATTATGTTATCGCAATACATTATTGCTTTTTGCATTTAAACGTGACTGTTATAAAGTTTTGCGAATCGACGAATCTACATGAGACTTTTATTATTTTTCAAGTACACGCGGAATTTAGAAAACAAGTTGCAACAATATTACACGAGATAAAATTATATTATTTTGCCTTATCATATTTCGTTTCCTAAAAAAATATAAGAGAAGCACTCGAATTTGTCAAACGTTTATAAAGCGAATTTAAATATTATTTTGATAAAAAAAAAATAATTTAAAAAAATTAAATAAATATTTCAAAAAGTTATGTAATACTATATAAATATTAAATTACAATTGTTATATATTTACTTCGATTATTTATTTTTACTTTGAAATATATTAAAATATAATTTCATTTTTTAAAATAATATATTATTTCCAAATCATGTAAATGTAGTTTCAGATAATTTTTTTTTTTAAGTATTGAAAGTTGTTTTTTATAGTTACATAGTATCAATAAAACTAGGATTGAAAGAATGACGTATCTTCATGAGATAATGACCCGTCACACGTGGTAAACTAGATTTCCTTCCTTACATTTAATATTTCAATTTACATCCGAAATTTCCAAAAAAAAAATATAAATAAAGAAAAAAAAACAATTATCATTTTATACAATAAGGTAAAATTTAAATTTCCGGAAATTATCAATATAAAAATTTTTTTATCACGTAATTTTAATTGAAACTGACGAAAACCAAAAAATCAATTTCAATGTTGCTACACACACCTCTAAAAATACCCGGTCGCCCCAAGAGTCGAATTTCATCTGCAGTAATGTTGACCAGATTAAACTCTCAGCTCCGAAAAATAAATGATCATTCTTTAGTTAATATTTACGCGACTAAAATTACTATACTTTCGAATTTTCTCTCTCCTGTAGGGAGGATGTTAACGATTCCAAAATAAGCCTAAAAAAAATGTTATTGTCATAAAGTGTACGTTGAGTATACAAACTCAGAAAGAATCTCCAGGTCGCGGACGAGATCAAAAAGTCTATAATCGGTAAACACTCGAAAATTTCCCATCTTATGAATTAAAAAGAACAAATATTCAATAAAAATATCAATCAATAGAGTAAATAAATGAAAAATAAACATTCTTCAAAATCAACATTGACAATTTTCTATATCAAGTTTTTAAGAACAAAATATCATTTTTCTACAATGACAACTATAAAAATATCTTTCATTAAAAGAAAAAAAAACACGTTAAGTTGAAGATCAAAGGAATAATCTTAGTTTTGAAGGTTAGGTTTCTTAATAGACATATACATAATTTTGAATAATGTATCCGCATTACGCAGCACCACTGGGTGTTGAATGTCAATAAAAACAAGTCCAACCCAGCGAACAACACTTCCCGGCAAACGATAATTTTCTTTGTAATCAAATTTTCATGAAACTTTATATTGTAAAATAATTATAATTTTTCATAAAAATACTAAAACAATGAAAATTAATCGAATAAATATAATCTAGTGTTTGCCAGTTCATTCGCATATATAGATGAGGGTAAACTCGTTGTTTACATTTTACGTCCGGGTCTTTCGATGACCAGCTTGAATAATATAACCGGTAACAATAGAATAATTAAAAATGATCCTTACTCTGCTGGTGACATCGGAAACCTCCCTCATAATCGCCTCGAAAGCGGCCGTCTCCTCCGCCTGCTTCTGATTAAGCAGGGCGATCTTTTCACTGAATTTCCGAGGGTTCGCCATGATGGCCAGAACACTTTAAATAATTTTTCAACACCGATTTATCAAAGTCAAGAACACAACACAGCCACGACAAATTAATAACAATAGTACCGCACCCGATCACGCACCAATTAAGTAATTTTCAACTTCAACAAGAATGAATTCACTACCTACTTCTGGACAGTAGATCACTGATACGCAAGATTATTGAGGCGCAGCGCGCCACGCGCATCGCGCAAATTATTTCTTCCAAAATAAAAACAAAACATGGACCGCGAGATGATGAGGTTACAACCAGGCGAGAGATGAATGTTCTCATTAAATTACCCGTGAAATTAAAATCGCGGATATATTATCAAATCAAGTTGTCGCATACTCATTACTTTCTATTTTAAGTTAATATTTTTTCTTATCACATTTGCAACTTTTATCACTGTTGAATCGAACTCGCGGTGACTCGATTTTCTCTCTTCTACTTTCGCGCGCACTCTGCCTTAAAATGTCTAACCTCAAGAAGCCACCACCACCACTACACTTTTGGCCGATAAAACAGTTCTAGAAATTTTATTAGTAATTTTTCAAGTCTTGTTGCCAACTATAGTTGGAAAAAAGAAAATTTTTCACTTATTAATATTTTATTTCCGTGTAATAATTTATTACCGTTTTTATCGAATAATTCTTTTTAATTAATTCAATGTATATAATTTCAAAAAAGTAGAATTAATAGCTGACTTTAAAATAGAACCTTTCCGTCGGAGGAGCAGCCCAACACTGATCGGCTAGTAATTTTCTAGCGCCAATCACATTCATGGACAAATTAACCATCTGAATTTGATTGGTTCTACTCGTTAAAAACCGTCCAATTACTTTTTAGTTCTCCAATCACAAGTTTTTACATTAAACAAATACACAGGGTTGGAACACAACGTATTGATTATACACAAACAACGTATTGACGTTGCATTGTTATTATGAATATTGTTTTCTTGTTTATATCTGTTCAAAAAAAGAAAAAATTATGAAATTTATTAGATTTTTCAAATAGTTAATTAATTATTTCTTTACTTAACGAAAATGTGAAACTTAACATCAGTATTGTAACTAAAAGGTATGTAAAACTATTTTTCTTTTTAAATTAATTTATAATAAATTTTTTTGTGAAACCGGCGTCAGTGTTGAATCAAAACAGACTTATAAAATCAAATTATTTCACATGTTACTTGTAAATATTGTTAATAATTCTTTATAATTTCGTTTAATCTAATTGTTTATTCGAATTTTGGGCTTTTTTTATGGAAAAGGTAATCAAAAGTTGCTTAAGAATTTGAGGTTATGTTAATGTTTTATGTTTGTTTGGTATGAAATATCTTCTAAAGAAATCAATGATATAGTGTGAAATAAGAGTTTACAGTAGATGAATTTGTATTTTATTAAACAATTTTATTTCCAAGACTTATAAATTGAATATTATTTTGGTTTATGTATGTTAACGGGAAAAGTATAAAATTTTAGTAATTTTAAGGTACAGAAAAAAGATGTAAATTGAATTTATTTATTAGTAAAATTAACTTAAAATGATAAAAATTAGTTTTACTATTTTTTATCAAGTAATTATTAATGATATTAACTATCTTGTTCTATATATATGTGTTTACAAGTTTAAGTTTACTATTAATGGCCTTATTCACATCTGCTCCAGTGGCGCAATTGGTTAGCGCACGGTACTTATAAGACAGTTTACGTGAGCAATGCCGGGGTTGTGAGTTCGAGCCTCACCTGGAGCATTTTTTTATACTGCACTTTACAATTTTTTTTTTATATATATTTATATTCTTAAATTAATTTTTTATTTGCATAAAAAAGTAAAACTTGTTTGTAGTAATTTTTTTGTATTAATTAATACATTTATTGTTATTTAATTTATAAATCTTAGAGATTTTTATAAATTTTCTTTCTGTTTCAGAAGCAAAATCGATTGAGTTCAGTTGTTATATTTCTCGAAACTGCTTGAAAGTTGGCCAAATGCTCTAATTTGGCACTTCACTTTTGAAATAACGACTAAATTAGGCCATTGAATTTTCATGAAATTACGCTATACACCAAGCTTTGACAAAAATTATGAGAATTGTTTTCAATGAGACTTGAAATTCATATACACGAGGTATTATTAAGCTTTGTTTAAAAGCTGAATTTTTTTTTTATTTTTACAAAACTAATTTAATTAAACATTTGATAAATTTAATTAAAATTCGTTGGAAACTATTTTAAATATATTTCGTTTTAAAATCGAAAACTCGTATGTCAAGTTGTTAAAATTCAAGCATCTTAACGTTGTTTTTTTTAATTTTATTTTAACATTAAGTTTTATTCGATCTACTTATTTAGTTTAATATGAAAAGGGTTGCGAAGCTCTCTCTCGTTATCCACAAATGAACATCTGGGTCAATAAGAGCTGTAGGAGATGAAAGATTTTTTTTTTGTGGGATGAGCTTGATGTCGCTACAACGCAGAAACAGATTCTTGATAATTTCTTTGTTCTATTTTTATAAAATATTTTAATAATTTGTACATTAAACTTATCAAGATATTTCCGACAATATTGGAAAATAATGTTTGGTTTTATCATGTTCTTCCAAAGATTTTGGGTTTTTAAGAAAAAGAGAACATACTTAATTAATTAATTAATTTTTAAATTTAATTAAATTTTTCTTCTAAATACAAATAATGATAAAAGGACTAATGAAACACGTGGATTTTCTACAAGAGGTGTTAATTTTATTTATGGTTTTTTTTCTGGGGTGTATACATAAGGAATACAGTATTACAGTAGATCTTATGAATAATTTTATTTTATTAAGGATGATCGGAGGTAAGGTCTTTAATTTAATATTCGTGCAACGCTAAATGAAAATTAAATGCTTTCAGTGCGAAATGACTATTATTTAACAAAAACGATGACAATGAAGCGTTTGATTTGATTTTCTCTTTTTGCTACAGTATCGATAAGAATGATTCATGAATTCGAAAAAGGTTATCATATATTTCTTTTCTTTTTGTCAAAAACGAGACTTTCCTCTTCTTTTTCTTCTTATATATCTTTATTTTTATATTTATTTTTTTAAAGAAATAACACATTTTATTTCTTTCTAATTAGGTGTTATTTTTTTTTAATTTAAAGAATGTATTTTAACATCCTTTAGGGAATATCTATTATCTATAATAGAAATGATAATTCATTATTAATTGATTCAACATGTTGATGATACAATTAATTTTTAATATTGCATTTCATTTTCATCTTTTATAAATAGTTCTAAAGAATTATTAACAATTTTCAAATTTTCGTAGGAACGAAATTTTGAATTTTCAAATTAATTCAAATTTTTGTTGAGCTTAAATATAGTCATTTTTATTTATTTTAAATGACATTTCCTTTATCAATTTTTAACAATAAACTTCTTTGTTTAGTTGAAAATTAAGAGTTATTAACAAAGATTCATTTATTTTAAATTAGGAAAATAATTAAATTTTTAATTTAAAAATTTAATTAAAATATATCTTAATTAGGAATAAATGATTAATTTTGAATAACTAGTAATTTAAATAAAATGTATAAAAAGTGGTTAAATACCATTTTTTTAGAGAAGATATTTGAGATAATTTCATAATATTTCTAAAATTTAATAAGAAATTTGTTTTTAATTTTGAGCACCAGCTCATTTTTTTTATGAATTATCTCTATATGTTATTTTTTAAATATTTTCCAACTTTCACTTCAAAACAATGTTAATATTCTACACTTACATATCTCATCACAACAATTTTTTTTTGAGTTTGATTTCATGAGAACGGTTACGTACAATGTGCAACTGTTATAAAATAAAAAATTATCTTCTTCACTTTCACAGTTCTTTTTCAATTTTTTTTTTTCATAACACATTTATTTCTCTTATAATACTTCTTATATTCATTTTTCGATAATTTGCACCATGAACTTTGTTTAATGACGTGCAAATAAATGTTATGTTTTCGCTGGAAAGAAAAAATATTAAAAAAAAAAAGAAAATTAATTTTTGGAGCAATATCAAATTAACTAGGAATCTCATTGAGTTTAGTTAAAAAAATGTTTCGCATTTAGTTTTATTTCTTAAATTCTAAATTTTTGCTTGAGATTCCTTTTTTAGTTGACAAGAGAAAGACAAAAGTGTGATTTATGAATAATACGAAAAGCTTTCTTTGAAAAATTGAAGACATTGTAAAAAACGGCAGTAATTGGCACACTCGTGTGTTTAATATGTGGTGTTTATATGTAAGGCAATAAACCTTTGGGTTTTTTTTTTGTTTAATATTTATATATATGTATAAGTGTAAAAAAGATTTATGTTTTTCAGGAATGTGGAAATATTTTTTGTTATAAAGAAGACATATTCTGTGTGCATCACCGTCGAAAAGGAAGCCAAGAACCGAGAAAAAAAAATATATATCTATATTATATAGGATAAGAATAAAATTTCTCTCAATCGGAAAGGAAAACATTTTTGTTTTTAACTGCCATGATTTTATCGAATAATCTGACTTTTTTTTTAATTACTTTGAGCTTCTACGGTTATTCGAGATGAGGGGGGAGGGGGGGGGGAAATTCAAAGAGAAGAGAAGGATCGGACAACTTTGGAATTAATTTTTTTTTTTCATTTGTGTCACAGCCAAGACTGGTGTCGCAAAACCTGTTTTTTTTGTGTGTATGTGGTATTCTATCAAAATAGACATATCACTCGCGAATCCCGAGTCTTCTCTTTAAGTTTCAAGAGACTATATTCTCACGGCTTGGAGAGATTTAATACGATTGAAAAAATAGCTTTAAACCATTGCTAAATACTATACAAATCTGACAAACTCGTCAATTTCAATTCTCCGTTTATTTTTTATTTATTTATTTTTTTTAATACTTACATAACAACTCTCGACTTTCTCGAATCTAGTCATGCATATATATTTTTTTTAATTGTTTATTTGTGTGACTTGCGAGAATATTCATTGAATCGAGACGTCGTTCAGATAATAATCTTTGCGCGATATAATATCCTATATTTTCTGTCTTCGCTTATACTTTCCAACGCTACAGCACCTACGATCTCTTTTTTTTTTTTTAATTATAAATAATTTCTATCGGAAGAAAATAGGTGAATATTTTGGAAATATAATATTTTTCTTTTTTTTTTTTGTACGGGTGAAATCATTTCGAATCGTTTTTCTTCAAAAGGGACGACCTAATCAAGAACTTTTATTTTAAACAGAATGTCCTATCTATAAAAAGATTATATTTTTAAAATATAATTTTTTTTCGAATATTTGGAAATTTTTTTGTTAATATGGAACGGGGGAAAAAAAGTTCGTGAATAGAAAGGACTAACCTTTTGAAGAGTTCCTCTATACGATCTTCACGAAATGATTAAAAATTGTCTCTTTCTACTTGCAAACTATATAATGTTTGGCGATAAAGAAAATTTTTCTGACGACCCTGTTTTATTTTTCTCGTTTAAAGGTGCAATTAGAATTTTTGTTTTTCTTATTAGCAAGCACTCATGGTTGATTTATCTACACTGAATAGAGAAAGAGAGAGATAGAGGGAGAGAGAGAGAGAGAAAGAGTGAGTGAGAGAATTTTTGAGAGTCCAATGCACTACAAGAAGGATACTATCATCTTGATCCTGTCACCTGAAAATTGTTTTTGGAAGTTCAGTGGACGGTGAAGCACAGAATAGTTTTGCTACACTGTTGTCTCCCGGTCTACGTGAATATATTCCACGTAACCGGGATGTTGTTGTCAGGATGCTCCTCCCAATAGAGTTTCTTCCGTCGGCGCTCTTCTAGGTTTGCACTTTTTTGTCCCTTTATAATGAAGTCTTTTTGCACGTGTCTTTGACCTGTAATCAAAAAAAGGACCAAAAAAATGTTTCTTTGTTTATTAACAAAAAAAATGAAATTTATAAAAATTATTTGATATTTTATTTTAGTAAAAAGCTATTTCCAATTTATATAAAATATCAATCGCGAAATCTTGATTCTAGAATGAGATATCAGCATCTCTCTCGTTGTGATACGTTCTAGTTGTGCGATAAAACACTTGGCCTCGAGATATCTTGCAAAGGTTCTGGATTAAGGTCACTGATGCCCTCAGGCTTTAACGCTAAAGCACCTCATCCCAATTGTTTTTTTTTTTTTAAAAAAAAAGAAAACCAGAAAACAGGACTTTATTGATCTGGAATACCATAGAGAAATTGTTTCCGGTTTTCTGGAGAAGCGTTTAATATTTTCTCTCGCATAAACTTGCGTATGTGGAGAGAAACAAAGCTTATCGTAAATGCTTTATAAGCAATGCATCCCATGATAATAACTCGCTATATAAGCTATTGTTAAATCTAGCTCTCTCACTGTATTATATATAATATAAAGTTCTAGTTGTCTGAAATCCCAAGCTCTTAAGAGCAACATAAGTTTCGTAATATATCTTTAGGAGTTGTTCAACAGAAACTCATATATACACTAAACTGTTGATTTATTTCGTAACTTCTAATTATATATTTTCAAAAAAAGCTAATTTTAAAATATATTTAATTAAATGAAAAAAAAAAATTTATCTGAAAGAGAATTTTTTTTCTATTATCATCTTTTTTCGCTTGGACGTGAGATATTTTTATAAAACAAGCTTATTTTATTTAATTTGATTTTCCAGTTACCTGCTTATCAGGATAGCAAGTAGGCACGCAAAGGCAGAGGCAATTCCAGCAACACCAGCGACCACCATCCACATCGCTGAAGGTAAAAGTCCCAATAATCTAGCACCACTTCCACAATTTGCTTCATCATGACCCGAAGGACAATGAACTCTTCCATCACACCATAAGCTTGCCGCAATACAAGCACCAAGCTCCGGACATTTATGAATACAATCACCAAATAGACTTGTATCATTTTCAATACCACGTTCTGGTAAACGTAATTGTCGTCTGAGAGCTGATCTACTTTTGGAAATTTCAAGCCACGATGCTGCAGCTTGTCCCGATTCGCGGGCAATAAATTCAACGAGCAATGCCGGTGGTCTCGGTGGTCCTGGCCATTTGCCCTCAGCACGTCCCAACCATTCCTCGGAGAATACTTGTACGGTAAAATCTTTTGCACCGGGTTCAGCGGGACATACAACTTTCAACAATTTTGGCGGCCATCCTGAGTAAAGTAGTATACGATTTGTCGTTGGACATTTGAAACTATCGGCCGATTCAACTAATGATGATGATGATGATGGAGGTTCCAATGGTAATAACCAACCCCAGGTTAAAACAAAAAGAGATCTATTGTCTCGTGCTTCCACCAGCCAAGGAAGACCCTCACAGTAAATATCAGGACGTGAAAAAGGTGGATTGATGAATCTCAATTCACCACCTGAAAACAATTTTCATTGTATTTTTCGCTAAGAAAAATAATAATAAGTATGTAAAATAATATACTATATAAAAATTTTTCTATACCTTCTCCACGAACTCTTTGTTTTCTAGGACACTCTGGCGCTCGAATAAGTTCAAAACTGGCGTAAAAAAAGAGTGATTGAAAATCCTCATATGGAGCTTGTTGATCAACGAAAAATGTTATTTCCAATGCTCTGCCCGAGGAAATATGCTTAAGTGGAAGATTCGAAGTATTATCACAGAGACATGCTATGGGAAGTTTAACATCACGCCATGGTGCCTCATAAAGAGTGAATCTTGTCTCACGACTGCCTGGATCTTGAATACATCTTGGCCTCCCTGAATGTAGATCGTCTTCACTCGTACACGATGTTGTCTCACCCAAACTCACATTGTGAATCATCAATTTGACACGTTCACCAGGACCAGCTTCAATTCTATAACGGCAGTCGAGTTTTGATGATCCACCACGGCCAAATAATCGAACATCACGTGGCGATGTAACTTCACCGCTTTGTGTTTTACGCCATATTCTACTGCATGGTCCATCGCCCCATTGCTCGCCTCCTTGGAGTGTTGAGATGAATTCATACCGGGCCTGGAATAGGAGCGCTACTTCGTCGAGTTCGATGTGGCAAAAAACTAAGCAGGTTAAAGGAAAAATTTACAATTACCAACGAAACAAAAAAAATTTTTTCAATTAACCTTGAGAAAAATGTGAGAAAAAGAGAGCTGCTTCATCACACCCAGTGAGAGGGAGGGAAATACTGAAATTTGCGTCGAAAAACAAAATAAGAATATAGGTAAATAAAAATAAATTTTCCACAACGAGGAATGTGATGGAAATTTTTTCATTGTGAGTAACTGCTATACTTTTTTTTTTTTTTTTAATATTTAGAAGAAAAATAAAGAGAGAAAAATACATTCTTTTAAAATGTCATCACAAGATGTATTTATTTGATTTTATTCATTTTTTTTCTTTTTTATCGTATCTCATCAATTTTATCGATTTGAAATTAATGCTCTTTTTCTTCTTTTTCCTCTAGTATTTCTGATCTCAATATCTTTAATGAATAGAAAGGAATTTGAAATATGGATGATTCTGTGAATTTATGAATAAAAATCGTTTTTTACGATTGAGTTAAATTAATCTTATTTCAATTTTTTAAATTGGTATCAGGGTATTTTAATTATCCCCTTAAAAATATGAATTTAAAAAATAACTGTAAATAAATACATTTTGTGATGACAAAAAGGGAAACTAAAAGGACATTCTTTCTACCAGGTACTACGAGACAGTGTCACTTACTTGAAAGTTAACCGGGTGAAGAGTGGTCCCAGGCGTCGTTTCCATATGTAAAAGAAGACTAGGTGCAATTGTGAGATAGCTCTCCTCCTTGGTACACGGTCTTGTGGTTCTTGTAGCATTTCTAAGGGCAGCATGTGCACAAATTCGAGGAACATCATCGCACAATACAGCCATTGGTATACCCGTGGACGGTGCACCATCCCAAAATGTCATTTTAATTGTACATGGTGGATCAATTTGTACACTTGAATTATTCTCCCCATTACCAGTGAGATCTCTCTGTGAATATGAGGCAAAATAAATCCAAATACGATCGCCAACTGCACCTTTAATATTCCACGTGCAATTTGTTGTTGGAGGTAGTGCATGAAGTGGTGCACGTAAAATTCCACTTCTTTTTGATGTTTCATTAACAAAAAAATAACAACCCTGATCGCCTTGTGCAAAATCCATTCCATCTGAATCAACATAAATCACTTGTATTTCCATTTCCAAACGAAGACTCGATGCACCCAATGGAATTGCTTCCGATGAACTGCGAAATTCAACTAACATTGTCGATCCTCTGGCAGTGATTTTTGGCAATGGACCACCGCAATATATCAATAAAATAGGATCATTCAGGCGTGGACCATCGCGAAATATAAGACGATCTCTATCATGTGGACAATCCTGCCAAACACTTAATGTCGAATTACTCGTTGCCAATCCAGCAAGACTTGTCGAACTTGCTTTCACCGATATCATTGCATGTTTACATGTTGGAACTGATTTTTGTCGTAATGTTATTAAACAACTTGTATTACGTTGATATTCACCGGGATAATTTGGACTTTGTACACGACATCTTTTTTGATGACATTCATAAAAATCACGTGAACAATATGTACCAGGAACTGGTGAACCACGTTCAATGGGAAATTCCGGTTCACCTAGACGTGCCACTGCTTCTTCACGCGATACAAAACGATAACGTAGACGAAATTCAAATGGCACAATTGATGGTGCATGAAAGAGACGAATTGACGCTGTAACAGTGCTTGCTTCGCTGTAATATGTCGCTCTACTTTCACCAGGACCACACCACGAACTATCGGGAAGTGCTTTTCCAAGTTCTAAAAGTTGCATATATCCTTCTGGACAGCTGGTGGTAAGAGTTGTCGCATCAGGATCAAGACGACCTATACTGAAGGCATCCCACAAAAGTTGAACAAATTCCCCAAGGCCCTGACCTCCTGCTGTGAACGTTAAATGACAGAGAAAAGGAAGACGTCCCTCGGCGGGACGTGTGAGCTCAAGCTTGTAAGTTCTGCCAACACGACCATGATAGGTGCGATTGCATGGTGTACAAAGTGCTGGCTCATCGCTACTATCGCCACAATCGTCTATTCCATTGCAATAGGCATCACCTGGTACGCAATGTCCATCACGACATGTCAATTCCGCTAGGCCACAGGCACCTGTACCTGAGGCACTTGATGCATCTATGAGGGTTACTATTAGAACAGTAAGGAGGATCTCTCGAAACCGTCCTTCACCACCCCCAGCATCAGCTCTCTCCTAAAAGAAAAATTCACAGAAAAATTATTTTTTATTAATTCAAGGTATTTTTTTTTATTTTTACATTGGAACTTGATTAAATTTAATTAAATTTCATTTCTTTTGAATTTTGATAAAAAATTTAAAACATTTTGTCTGACTTAAACTGATACCGAGTTAAAAAAATTTGAAACAACAAAAATTTTTAACTTATAAATTTAAAGGAATAATATAATAATTATATTATTATCATAATCTTATAATTATATTTTTATAATTATTATTATATAATTATATTTTTAATATAATAATATTCTTAAAATAACATTTCTTAATTTGAAAATCGTTTTTTATTTCAACAAAATTATATATATTCAAACTGTGCCAAAACGGGCTCATTAAATTTTTACAAGCCAATTTCGTCTGACACATTGTAACTTTTTCTGCTATAAAAAGGTAAATTAAATTGTTCTCAGAATACATATGTATTCATACAGAAACGGATGATTCATTTTGAACTTGTTTCAAAAAAATTTACTAAAAATTCGAGTTATTCAAATATTGACTAATCCTCCCAATAAAAGTTACGGATATGATCAGTTTTTTTTAGTTGCGCTTTTTTTTTTTTTTTTTTTTTTTTTTTTTTTAATAAATTCGTTTGAAACGATCATGAATAAATGCAATAAAATTCTAGAGGTAATTTTTTCTGAAAAAAAAGATTTAATATTGTAAAACAAGATTTTTTTTTAAATATTGTCAATATAGCTTTTTTCATATCATATATAACAAAAGATATATTGCACTTTGAAAATTTTCTGAAAATTAATATGAAGACTTTATTTAGCTTTCTTAACATAAAGCTCTTCTTTCGTTTGACTTTACACGTTGAAGGTTCAACTTTCTTTGAGGCGCATATAAAAAAAGAATTTATGTTCATTATAAAGAAGAGACAACCCTTTGTTATAATTATATATATAAATAATAAACTTTTTTTTATGAAAATGCATTTACAAAGAGAAATAAATCAAATTCATAAAAAAAATAATAATATATTGAATATTATTTCTTTAAAAAAAAAAAATTTACGATCTTATATTTCAAGTATATTTTTATTTTTTTAAAGAACAATTTTTCTAAAAGTCTCAAGTGTTGTTATCTGAAAAGACTCAACTTGTAGCAAAGGAAATTTCTTTTCAAAAGAAAAACTTTTTTCGGTACAAAATCGCGCAAACTTTGAAAAACACGTGAAAAAAAAACGGTTTTAAAAGTATATAATAAAAAGATTCCTGAACTTCAAAGGATATATTAAATTATAAACTGTAGAGAAGGCTTTTAAAGAGAGAGAGTGAGAGAAAAAGAGAGATATTGGAGAGAAATTCTATTTTATTGATTTCACCATGTTCCGTGAGGAAAATTGAATATAGAATGAGGAGATTTTCATTTAATACTATTCAAACGATATAAACTTATTCTCTTCTCTCTATAAATTATATAATAACCTAAATTTCCAGAGAGGAGATGTTATCCACCCATGAAATGCGATTTAAGCGAATTTCCTATAGATGTAAAGTTATACTAAAAGCTTCTTATAGTAATTAAAACATTTTCCAATTCTACATATATTAAAATCTGATTTTGAGATGAAAAATATAAAAATAAAAAGAGATTATATTGTGAACAATAAAGATGATCTTCTTGGTGAAATTTATCATATAGTATACAAATTCTACAATGAACATTGCTTTTGAAATGCGCGTCGTCGTCTATATCTCCATTGTCGATCTCTCGTTCGTTCGTGCAATGCTTTTGCGCTGAAACTCTAGCGAAAATTTAATTCAAGTCAGAATTGTGAGACAATGATGTACGAACGCTTTTCCAGAATTATACGCTAGAATAAGTACAATGCTGTAATTTGAGAATGTTTAATTGTTTCGTGACCCCTTCCGGCTAAAGTTAATTAAAATACTACACGTTAAACTAACTACTCTTTATATATATATATATATTATTCGTTTCAATATTTTCCATTTCTCTTTTCAATCTTTTCCATTTATTTGTTATACAAGCTGCTTATTGAAATTTTAAAACAAACGTGTCACACAAATGCATTGAAATTGTGATTGAATAACAAAACTTATTTTCACTGCGCGAGATAATTTGAAATAATGAACATTTTTTTTTAATGGAAAAATAATAAATGTTATTTATTTATTTAAGATCAAAGAGTCCTTTAAAAAACAAATTGTATCATAAATATATATGATAAAATAATAAATTTAAAAAATATTTTTCTAAAAAATTATTTCTGCAAAAAGAGAAAAAAATATATTTTTCTCAAAGCGAAATAAATTTTATTTTGTACGAATAAAAATTTTGCATGCGTCAAATAACATTTTATTTCTGCAAGAAGAAACTTTTAACATTCTCGTATTTTTGTATCAGTATATAGTAAAAAACAATTTCAGTCAGACAAAACAATAAAAATTTGCAGTTAAAAAAAAAATGTTTCATCGGACCGTACTTCAATTAAATTTGATTTTTATTTATAAAAATAATGTTTATCATAAATTTATTTTTTAATTTTGTATTTAATTATTTTTACAAAATTATTTGTATTCAATTTATGTTTATATATTTACTGCGAATTATATATATTTACAGTAATGGAAAATTAATGCGGGTAGTCAAGTGTGAAACATGATATTTCAATTCAATGATGATGTTTAACCGAAACAAGTTTTGAGTTATATATATATATTTGAAAGGTGTTAATGTCATCTCTTGCCTGAAGTTACTAAATTATCTGGTAACAAACTTGTCAACTAAAGTTTTGATTCTTATTACAGATATAATACGCGCAAATGTAAATTACGCCTTGATGAATTTGATTTGGATTGTTCTAAATAATAATGACACTTTGGAAATTATATATGCAAGGATTGAAATTCTACAGTTTTGATGTCAAAATATTCTACGCCAGTGTGAAAGTACACAGTAAAAACAAAATCTTCTTTTAAGCTTATAAGTTGTCTTTTTTCAAGATGTAAACGGAAGTAGATCATATTGACTGAAAATCAGTACTCAAAAAATGTTTAAAAAGAATACTCTTATCTTACTATAAGTAAGATGTCATACGAGCTGAAATTTAGCTCTAAGCTTGTTGAAGAACTGAAATTCAGTTAGGTTTTAGACTATCATTTAGTCTTATGTTAAAAGAGGGCTGAAATTAAGCTTCCTTACAGACTGTCTTTCAGCGTTAACCTGGTGTGATAATAATCCTAAATTATGACTTAAAAGCATATTAGAATTTTGATATATATATATATTTATATTACTTATAACAATTTTTTCTAATTTATAAATTTGCATTATTTAAATGAAAATGACGAGGAACTTTTATATTTAAAAAAATCTTGTCATTTTCATTTTCAATTCTGCAAACTAAATTTAAAAAATAACATTATACGTAATATATATATATATATAAATATATAAAATTAGGAATTAACAGTTTAGAATAATTTAAGCTCTTCCAACAAGTTCCACACAGTTTTGTACTTTTGGTAATATTTAGCGACTTTTTTTCTAAATAGTATAGCTGAGACAAAGGTGAAAGATATGCGTGCTTTGCTGGAATATTCGATATTAAAAACCCAGTAAAAAAACCCATTCTTGTGAATTATAAATGAATAAAACCAAAATTAAAACACGAGAAAATCATTTCTCAACCACGCTTCACTGTACGCGTACGCTATGGCGTTTTCACAACAGACGTTTTGCCTGTGACGTCACAACTACCACTTTAAGACTCGGCGGACTGACACCCAGCTCAAGTAAAGACTTTTAAAAAGTCACTGTCGTCTTTTTTTTACTTAAGACCAGTGAATTAAAAATCAGTCGAATTATAAGCTTATTTATAGTAAGAGAACCACTAACTCTTATTTTAAGCTAATTTTCATTATTAAATAAAGTTTCTTGCTTAAAATAAGTTAAAAATTAAAGTAAGCTTACATTCGGTTTCAGATTTTGTTTTTACTGTGTAAATAAATTAAATGCAAAAGTTCCCAAGCTACAATCTATATATATATATATATATATTAATGGATATTTAAACTGAATTTTCGAAATTCAACTGACAAACAATTGGATTAAATTATTGAGGGCAGCTTTCACGATTTTCATCAGGTATAAAATCTCTCTAATTACGATAAAATATAATTAAAATATAATATCACATTTAAATTGATATTGGAAATATTAAATTTTATTTAAAATTAAAATTAAATAATTTCAAATTTCAATAGTAGTTTGAAAATTTGGAAACAATTTTTTTAAATGTATAAAAAAATATTTTTCTCGTTTATACTATTTATAAAATCAATACAGCTGAATTTAGGAAATATTTAGCTTATCTCGACTTTAACGATTTCAATACGTGGCCCAGAAGCTTATCAATAGATAGTGGCTTTTATTTGGTTTTTTTTTTATCAGTTTATAGATTTTGTCCTAATGTAATATTAATATATGTATACAATTTGTTTTGCAATTAATTAATCTTATTATTTTTTTATATACTCTCAAACTTCGTATTATTTCGATTTTATAAATTTTTTAAATTTAATATTTTGAATTAAAATTATATTTTTAAATTTTATCTAATAAAAAAAATTAAAGTTAATAATTTTTTAATATTCAGGATTAATAAAGACCAAATTGGATATATATTAAAAAGACGCGATTAAGTTTATAAAGCAAAACGAAAAAGTATTTTGCTTGAAAGCTTTTGTTTGTCAAATTTTTTCTTTTACATTAAAAGGGAATGTTGTTGAAAAATGGATAATGGATTCTGTCAGGAGCAGCTTTTCAATTTTACGTTATACTTTATATTTGGATCCATAAAGAGAATAACAATTTTGAAGCAATAGAAATAGCTTCATTAAAAAAATAAATCTGACTATTCAATAATATTTTGAGAAAAAAAAATCCTGCAAGAGTGGAAATATTACAAAAGTTGTTTTTTTTTAATATTTAGTAAATTTTTCCAAGAGAACAAAATTTATATGAAAAAATCTTTATTTGGGATATTAAAAATAATTAAATTTATGTTTAAATTCAAAATTGTAAAAATGATTGTAGTATAAAATACTATAGAATCATTTTCAAAATTTATATTCAGTGTTTAATTATTTTTTTGATTTTATTATTTTATAAAATTAATGTGGAGTAATTTTAAAAATTATCCGCTTTATATATAAAAAAATAATGTCCGTTGCAGGTATCGTATTTTTTTCATTGCATATCAAAAACAATTTAAAATAATTGATATTTTATTTCACATCTGAAAATGCGTTCATTTAGAAAAATTGATATAACTTTTGAAAAATATTTTTTAATAAATCCTCCAAATTTTCAAACTACAATAAATTCCAATATCAATTATTATTTATTTCAATTGATAATTAAAGGACGAATTATATTCTTATTAGAATATAAACTGAATAATATTATTATTATGTAATTAGAATCCTATATGTAACAAAATTATTTATATATTATATATATATATAATTTGCTAAATAATAGTTAATTAGTACAAGAGATGCAATTTCGCGGTTTAATGATTGCGGAGGCTTTAATTTACCAATCGAGATATATACGACATTTGCGTATATACTATTTGACTATATACATTATACATAATGTATCATGATGCACTCTATACAATATGTACAAAGGAGATTGAATATGTCAGGTTTGTAAATATTCACGAGCCCTTTGACAAATCTATACGTATACATCAATTGAATCGTTACGTATTCTTATTATATATACATATGGTAAAAGGCGCACTATCGAAGGTCGGATTTTCGGATTTACTTTCTACATTTCACCCCTTAGGTCTTCAGTGATATATACTGTATATCAGCTTATACCCTTTTCGTTCACTTTACTCTTTCCACTTAGTAGTTTTGAAATTTCTATGAGATAGGATGAAATTCACTTTCCAAAGGCTTCTAAAGCACACAAGCCATTTAATGCGATAATGCATCATCCATTAAAGGGTTTTTATTTTTTTTTCGCTCATTTAAATATTATAATATGTAACATAAGTTTTACGTACACATTTTTTTTTAAATTAATTATATACATACTAAAATATTATTAATTCGTATATATATTGCTGATGGGAAATTTTGTTATGAATTTGTTATGCAAACATTTTTTTTTCCTTTCCACAATTTTAATATTTAGCTCTATTATTCTTTTAAATAATATGTCCATTATTTTTTTCCAAGTCTCCTGCAATTTAAAATAAGAATATCATATTTTTCCCCGGGTATGTTTGTTTTTGCCAAGAAGATACCATACATATTTTCCCGGTGGCTTATTATATATGCAGAAGCCAAAAATCTGTTTCTTTTATTCGCGAAGTTATCAATATATAGTATATATTTATTCTCAGACAATTTTTCTGATTGATACCTATAAGAAAATATGTTTTTTTTTTATTTTGTTTTGAATCGATTGTTCAAAAAAAAAAAAAATTCTTTTTTTTTTAAACTTGATCATAAAGTCTGAGAACTTAAAGGGCTTGAATGATTGACAACCTAATTTAAACTCGTAAATGGCAGGAAATTGCTTCACTTAGCTTTCACGACGTACACATGAACCACCTTTTATTTTGCATCAAAGAAACCTTCTCTCTCTGTCTCTTTTGCTCTTGACATCTAAAGTGTTTCTGAAAAAAGCTTTGTAAAGTAGAATTACATTTTACAAAATCCTGAGGAAAAGGAAGAATTTTCTGTGTTTTTTTTTTTTTATTGTATTTACCTAAATTGTTTTAAAGAAGCAACTTTTTCCACCTAAACGTTTCCTAAACGCTTAACTTTTGGCGAAAGGACAATTATTATTGTAATTAATGGCTGTTAGCTTTTTTTTTTTGCACATTACTGAACTTTCTTCTACAGTATTGGATAGAAGCCAGTAATTTTCTCTCTAAAATACTATGTTCAATTGTTTGTGACTCTTTTTATTTCCTGGGCGTTGTGAGAAAAAAAAATTATGTTTTCTAATGGTGCATTGCACCCGAGGTATTTTTGCGAATTCGAAGAGAACCATTCAGAAAAGGATAATAAGTGCCTCTTGAATAGTGATTCTGAATTCCCAATAAGTACACCATCTGAGCCATAGAGAAAAATCTATTGACTGTTTACTGCACCTGAAGCTAAGATCTTTGAACTCCAGTCTTAATAGGTACTCTTTTTTTTCTCTCTCTTTCATGGATTCAAACAAATCTGTTTACAGAAAAAGAAAAATCATTTTCCTCGTGATATAAAAGAATTAAGTCTAATTTTTTCTAAAAAGAGAATTTAATTTTGCTTTTTTTGTAAAGATTCGTATATATGTTTGTGTTCATTATATTAAGCAATTCAATAAATTTTCTCCTACATGGAAAATTCATGTTCAGTACCATAAACTTTGGCTTAAGTGAATTGTTTTTAGAATGAAGCATCCAACGAAAATATTAGTTTTATGAATCATGTATATATGTTATAAGAGAGAATAAAGCTTAAATTTGAAGCAGCGAGTGAAGAGTAATTCACTTAATTTTAGACTATCTCTCAGCTTAATGAGTGTCAGTTTTACATTTCTCTTTTTTTTCTACAAATATACGTTGTGAAATAAATTGTTGATTCAGGTTTTTCATTAAAAAAAACTGATTTAACAAACTATAATACCTAAAAATTGATTTTAATTGAACCTTTCAAATTTTTTCATGTGTAAATAAGTGAATTGTCCCTCTTTTTCAAATTAATTATTATTTTGTTACTCTTTCCACGTTGATTCTTAATTAGTTGATATGATTTTAATGGTCCTTTCATTTTTTTTCCACAGATTAATCCTGTTCATCAAAAGGGAAAAAGTTGATTGAATGTAAAAAAGCGAACAGTGGACAATAGAAACATGGAAACATACAAACATGGATTTAGAAATTAAATTTTTGAATAATTAAAAAAAAATGGACAAAAAAAAAATCTTGAGCCTCATGAGTGTTTTAGGAAAATTTTCAAGAAGAGTAGATCTCAAAGTGTTTAATTGAAAAACAAGTTTTGTGGTAAACCCTTTGAGACGCACGAGTGTGAAAAAAAAACAATGGAAAACTATCGAGAAGAGGCCGCTGAGGGAATAGCACTCAAAAGTCCATTGTTTCGCTGAAAGGATATAACTTTCATGTAGATGAATTTTTAAAAGAAAAAAAAAATCTGACGAGGGGAAGAAAGAAAAGAAAGAACTTACCATAATCGTCTGTCAGCGGGTCGCGCATATCACAGTCCTCGCGAGGATCGCAATTTTTCTTGTCTAGCCTCCCGGGCACGAGTTGCAGCACGTTGTGAAAATCGTAGTTTAGTTATATCTTGGAAATAATAAAAATCACCACCACCACTTTTACCATCACCCACCGTCGTTGTCTTCGTGATTAACAGCATGCGGATTCTTCAGCTTCTCTTCTTCAATTTGGCAAAAATCATCCGCGCACTACTGCCGAGCATCTTTCTCTCTGTGCTTATCTAAATCAGGTAAATTTTCATTCACTTGGAAAAATAAAGAAGAAAAAATTCTTCTAAAAAAAGAAACAAAAACATTTACTTTAAGAGAAGATATAATAATAATAATAATAATAATATAATATATTAAATACAGGTTTCACGGTGGTGTGCGCCTGACAGCCGACGCGCGAATGCACGCGTGCAAGTCGGGTTGTGGTCTCTCTGCTCGCAAGTGGAGGTGAAAGCTCGGGGCTTGGCCGCTGGGCGTCCCGACGCCTCGATGCATCGATCGAAGCTTCTCTCTCTCTCTCTCTCTTTCTCTCACTCGCTCCAGTTTCACGTTGGGATGTTGTACGCGAGACCATCCCCAGCCCCTAGCCAGCCTGAATTCCACGATTTTCCTCCCCATTCATTCCCCTCTCGTCTTTTATGCGGAACGTCAACCCCTAGAGGTAGGCGCCTCGAAGGTGGAGACCCACAAAACCATCATCCCTTGCCGCTGATTCTCTATCTTTCTTTCACTCTCTTTTCTTATCTAGATAAAAAAAAGATCGAGAGCTCCTTCAGACAAAAGGGAGGGGGGGAGAGAAAAATTCGCTGACAGACTCCCAAACTACAAATTCGGCTAGAAAATCTTCTCCTACATATATATGTTAGAGATGTATACATACGCAGACCAAAGGGCGGGTTGGAAAAGACAGAATTAGCCAGCCAGCCGCTCACGCTCTCTGATCGATACGAGGCAATTTTTCATGGAGAGAAGTAACTCGAAAATAAGGTCAAAAGAAAATTGCGAGGCTTATGACCGCCTCCCAAAAAAACAGAGAGAAAAAAAAATCAACTCTGAATTCTGGCGAGCCTATTCACAATTATCCGCTTTTGCAAATTAAGGGTGTTTGACCTCTTACTCAATGAATATATCTCCGATAAAATTCAATAGTTCCAATTTCATAAAATCAAATTTCTATTTAATCAAAATAAAAGAGAATATTAAAATCTTTTATAAATCAGTATTAATATTAACTGAATTTATATTTAACCGAATTTTTTTAAATGAAAAATTAAGTCTAATTTAAATATTGCCAAATATTTAACCGATTTTTTTTAAAGAAGCTTAAACATAATTTTACAAGTAGATTTAAAAGTAAGCTCAATTATTTATTAAGCCGAATTTCTCTCTAAATTTCGGCTAAATATAAATAAAGAAAAAATTTTCAATTAATTTTCTGAATTATATCTAATATTGTCCTTTTTTTGAAATTTGTCTTAAAAAAAAACGACACATGTTATGAAAAAAGAAATTAATGAAGGAATAATAAAATAGAAAAAAAAATTTACTCAAGGATGCAAATTATTCGTCAACATTTGCATTTTTAAAACGTCTTTAAAAAAAAACAATCGTTTAGGGGCTAATAAAATTACCACGCGCATGAAAGTGTAGAATATTTCACTTTGATATAGTAAAAAATTCAAAAAATTTTGAACTAATATTATAATTTAATATTAAATTGTTTTAATTATATTTAGTAAATTAATACTTCATCATGAAGTTTTGTATTTAATTTAAAGTATTCAAAAACCTGTAAAACAAACTTTTAATTACTTTGAAAATAAATTTTTGAAACTTTCGCAAATTAAATTTTCTGCATACTGTTTACTTTTAAAGATCATTCTTGTAATCCTCTCAGAAACGAGGGGGGAGATTTTTGCAAATCCCAGTTTAAAGGCCTTATAAATATATAGTAGATAAAAAATGATACTCTCTGAAAATTCATTACTAGCGATCAAATACTTTTTTTTAAATTATTCTTTTTACCAAAGGTTTCGAAAACTTTCATTTCCACGCACGAATGTTTTTTTTTTTTTTTTTTTTTTATCGAACAAAATTGATACTGAAGCGGAAAAACAATTTAAATTCCATTTCTAAAAGTTTTAATCGACTGAATAAATTTGCAAATTTTTCAATAAAAAAGTCAGTTTTTAACTTTTTAAAACTATTGTATAAATTATAAAAATAACAGGTAATTTTGAATTAAAATATGAATACGTAATTTATTACTATTAAAGCTATTTAAGTTTTATTATTCTATTTTTTTTATTTGAAAGCACACAAAGTTTCAAACTGATTTTTTAAAATGCATCAGCTGAAACTATTTTATCTCTCTCATAGAGAAAACATTCTTTTTTTTCTCCTTTTAAATCACGCAATTCATATTCAAATATATTCCAACATTAAAAATATCAAGTTCATTGAAAAGGATAAACAAATTCTGAACAGTTCAATTATTATTAATCTTGAATCTTAATGTATTTTGTTTGTTTAGAAATTTCGTTGAATGAAAAAAAATTTACAATTTCAAAACAAGTGGAAAAAACTTTAACTTCAGAAAATGTCAACTTGTAAATAATTATTTTAATGGTATAAATATTTTGTTACCTGAATTACTAGTTGCTAACAGAATTTTTGTTATTTAAAAAAACAGAAACAAAAATACTGTGATTTAAAAAAGTCTTTTTAGAAGGCGTAGCGCGTTCGAATATCTTCCAATCTCTTTGACACTTCCGATGATGTTTTATCTAAATCACCAGCAATACTTTTTTGAATTGTAGGCTCAATTGAATTAAATTGTTCACATAAATCACCATCAATGACATTTTTCACAGGATAATAATAAGATCTAAATGAAAGATGATCACGACCACAAAGTGGTGGATGTTCTGAGCGCATATGCATTTCTAAACTTTGAAAGAAATCATGATCCTCATTACTTGTGAATGGTACAAGAACGCCAACAGTTCCACTAAGTGTTGTATAAACTAAACTCTCCGATCCACCAGGTATAAGTGTTGCTTTTTGTAAACACATCACTGTTTCGCCAATATGAAAACAAGCGACAGTTTCTGCTTTTTGACTCGCACCATTTAATAATCCTCGATCCCACAATGCTTTATTTCCCGTTGGATCTTCATCCACATCGTCATTTACTCCAGTCGCCAGTCTTATCTGTTTTTTTTTTGAAAAACAAAAATAAAAAATTGAAAAATCATTCAAAATAGAATGAAATGTTAAAATCAAAAGTAAAAACTCACCACAGCAATATTTCCAAATTTATCAGCAGTTGCTACTGTATCATAATCTAAAACGCAAGTGGTCGTTATCCATCGAGGATGTGTGTCATCGGCAAAAACAATAAGTTGATTTTCCTGTCGTTTATATCTCACAGCGTAAACAGATTCCTGAACATCGCTAACATAAATACGATGTCCCACCGCATTAATACTGACAATTGCATTAGGGATGTGTTTATTTTCACATTTTCGTAATAATTTTTTCTTCCCCATATCATATAATCGTAACATTCTACCAACACCAACTAAAACACGTCCTTGATACGAACAAATAGCAAGTGGAATCTCATCGACAACTGTCTCATGCAACAATTCCAATTTTGTACAATCGTCATTTATTCTGAAAAATAAAAAAAAAGAAACGTAAGAATATTTTCTCATAAAATTACAATTTTATTTTCTATATTTCCATTGTCAGTACTGCAGGGTTATCATCAATTATTCAGATAGTGTGATATTGTCATCATTCATTATTTAATTAGAGAAAAAAATTTATATATTTATAAACTTAATACCTGTAAGTATAGAGATATCCTCCGTTGCTTATTCTCGGATTAAGTTGATAGTCCTTGGCAACACCAACAATTAAAAATTGTTGATTTCCTTGATTTGCAAATTTCACCATTGCCAAACTTAAAGCAGCCAAATTTTGTTTCAATCCATATTTTTCTAATGTTTCTCCAGTTGTTGGTTTAATAATACGAATAGAAGAAGCCCATAATCCAGGACCAGCTCTTGGTGCACCAAAAACAGCTTCATTTGATTCTTCAGTTAAAAATGCTTCCGCCAATTCTCGTGCAACTGCAGCTTCCTCAGCGCCTGCAGCTTCTTGCATCTCCTCAGCCATTTGTAATCGTCGTTGATGTTTCGTTTCCTCTGTATAGGCATTGTGCTCCGTTTCAAGTACTAATAAATGTGCCGAATCATTATGAATTGTAAATTTCCTCGGCGTATATTCCAATGGGAAACTAACTTGATTAAATACAGCACCAAGTTTTTCAAGTGCTAAAATTCTCAATGTATTCGTGGAAATTGCAACAATACCCTCGGGACATTGTTCAGAACTAAATCCAGAAGCAAATTCCAAACTTTCATAAGACAATGGCGTTAAATGAAAACGATTTTGATAATAGTAACTTAACCATGAGCGACTACTCATTGCTAAAACTGCTTCATTACCCTGCATTCTTATACGAAAAAGTTTAACAGCACGTGAACCTAAATATCTCGTTCGTGTATCAGCCAAATCACCGGATATTGGATCTAAAACCGTTCTCAATAACACGCCATTTTGTAGGCCAATATTGAGATAAAAACTCGATTGTTTTGGACGAGCATCATCTGAACTGTCAGCATCTTTCAAACCCATTTCCACGATACATAAACTTTCAGCAGCCGCTGGCAATGCTTGCATACTTCTTGGCGATAAACAATCTTTAGAATCAAGAGACATTATTCTCACCGTATTATCTTGAAGACCCACAGCGAGATAGGGAAATCGTTGCTCACCAGATGGTACATTACCCAAACCCATGCACATTACTTCCGAGGGCATTTTCTTTCTTTCCGTATATTCATTCAATTGACCGGTCTGAAAATTCAAAATTAAATTAGAATTATCAAAACTTAAGATATTTTCAATAAATGTTTGCCAATTTTATTGTTTTCATTCCAGTTACGAAAATCAATAATAAAAAAAGCAAGATATTTTACGCACATTTTACATCTTTGAGAATAAAATTACCTCACAAAGAGAACATTGTGCAAATTTAATTTAATAGTGAAATTTACTTACAGCGTCCAATTCAAAATAAACCAATTCTCCGCCAGTTAGGGCAATCACAACTTGACGTTGATTAACAGCACATTTTACTATTGTTTTCTTTCCCGGTGCTTTCCATTCATTAACACGTTTATCTGCTCTTATATGACGAATACCATCGGGATAAACCTAAAAACAACATAAGCTATTTAACCAAAATCAAGTGAATTTCTATATTTAAAAATTAGAAAAAAAAAAATTGTCGAGGCCGAGATACCAGGAAAACTTAAATATAAAACATAAGTGTTCCAACGATGCAAAAGCCTAATCATTATTTTTGCACTTTATTGCGACCGTCACGTGGTGAACCAGGTGCCGGAGATACCGAGTGCTACAAATTTTTTTTTTTTTCCATTTATCAATTTTCTTACCTGCACTAAAGCATCTTCTCCCAATGCAGAACAACTCAACGTTGGCGTTGTACCCAAAAAACCAGAATCCGTTACTTCTTCGACAGTTTCTCCAATACTAAGTACCAAAGTTGCATTTACGAACGACACAATGATGTAAGCATCATATTCCTCTGAAACCGAAATCAAATTCTTCGTCTAGATTATTCAATGAATAAAAAAATGCCTCAATCTCGGATTAAAATTTTAGGGTTCTATTTTTATTAAAAAAAAGAAAAAAAATAAAATAAAATAGCTTATTCAAAAATAAAAAAAAGGATAAAGATCCATGAACTTATTTCCTCGGTCCCCCTTAATTTGGTAGTAAATCATCCCTTGGGATAATTTCGAATTTCTCCTTACCTTTCAGTCATTCATCACTGTCTTGGTCAACCATAAGCCTGCAGACATCCTGAAAGAGAGAACTGGTGTTTGATAAGAGTGTATCAATCCACCAGATTTATTAATATCTTTTTAAAAAGATATTAATTTTTCTACGCTTGATAAAAGAGAAAAAAATTTTTTAATACTTTAAAAAAAAGAGAAAATAATTTTGAAATTTAGCAATTTAAAATTTCTTATTCCAAGTTGAATTCAAAAACAAAATTAAAAAGGAAAGGAAACATTGGGAACAACACTGACAACCACGTTCTTCTCTATTTTCTTTTTTCAGCAATTAGTAATTATTTCAGTATACTACAAAAAAAAAAAAAGTTCAGAAAAACATTTTTCAGCCCGTTAGTGTTGTCCCTTAAAAAAAGTGAAAATACTACTTTATAAATTTAAAAAAAAAAATGCCCTGGTATTCAATAAATGTAATTAACTAACCGTCAATACGTCGCTTCACTGTCCAAACAGCATTAGGATTTCCGGGAAGTTCGCTGACAGCCATTTCAGAAACTTCGAGACCATGACGCAATACTCTCAATGTAGATCGTGGACCTCTTCCGCAGGCTATGTACAATTGTGGTGTATCTTCGTTCGCAAGATCGGCCACCTAATTAAAAAGAAACAATATAAATTATCATTTACAACTTAATTCTTTATATTATTTTTTTAAAAATTTATTTGAAAATAATTGTCAATCTTTGATTCACTTCGGCGTGCAAAAACAAGACGAAGGCGACAAAGAGCATTTTGATCTTGCATCATTTCACAGAGAATTGACCATCAAATAAATCAATCCTCTACTTGACAATGCCTTTTAAATTCAAATTTTTTATTTACCTGACAAGCCATTATAGGTGATAAACTATCCATTTCGTCGACAAGTACCAAATTTCTCAAAGGTCTTGGTGCAAAGAAAAATGTATCACCTTCTTCTAAAGGCATTGCTGAACTGAATTCTGGCTCGTCATCGTCATCACCAAGATGTGCGATTTGATATAAATAGCTGAAAATAAAAAAAGAAATTTACATAATCCACAAAATATATATATTAATATTTATTTTTCCAAAAATAGAAAAACTTACTGATTTCCAAATTCAGAGGCAACAAATAAGAAACCAGTTTTAAGTACACACATACTTGACGCCACGGGTACTGTATCAAAATATTTTAATTTAATTTCCGTAACCATATCCTCATCAGTCTCGAGGGTAATTTTAAAAATATCACCCTGCTCTGTTTGTGCCAAAAAGAAAAACATGCTTTTTGTTTTATGCGTCGCTGAACAAACAAAAATCATTCCCCTCTCAGGATCGTCTAAATCATTTCTTCGCCTTGGAATTGGACAACGAATATCGTGTTGATCACCAAGATTTTTGTAAGTTAAATAATTTTCCGAGCAAATAAGTACACCACTTGGTCCATCATTTCCTCCTGGTACAGAGACGAGAAAATTTGCATGCTCCTCAAGTGGTTCACTGTATTTTCGAACAACATGATTTAAACCCAAATCAAGTTCATATAATGTTAATGTTTGTTGTGTTCTCACTGCCGCATCACCCGTTGGATCACTGTCGGCTTCCTGAAAACAGAAAATTAGTATCAATAAAACAAATTTAAAACAATGATTATTTATTATTATTTTAAAAGCGCTATCATTATCAAGAGATTATAATCAATGTAAGTCAGTTGAAACACGGACATGATAATTTAATCATTTAACACGAGAGTAAAAAAATAATATGAATTTACAAAAAAAAAAAATCTATATTTACCTCGTAATCGATTTCAAGGCATGCAAACATTGGATTTTCAAAACCAACATCAACGCCGACTGTGTGATAAACTAAAGTGTTACTTTTGTGCGCTTCCAATGGCGAGGAAATGGTAAGTCGTGCCTCTGGATCACGATTCAAAATATACACCAATTTTTGTTTTTCAATTGCACCTAAAAATTGAATTTTATTAATTTACTTTCCTCACGAAAGGCTAATTTTATTTTAATAAAAAATTAAGTACAATCATTATCAAAGGAATTATAATCAAATGTCAATCAGTTGAAACACGGACATGATAATTTAATCATCTATAATACTAAAAAGATTTCAAAATTTAATTAAAAATGGCATTTTTAATTACCTATCATAACAGCACGCCCTTTTGGATCAATGGCCAAATATTGTCCGGGAACAATTCGTCGACATCCACTTTTTCCAAAAGTTTCCTGATGGACTTTAGTAAATGAATTTTTGGTAGGATTGTATTCCAAAATAACAATTCGTCCTGAATCAGTGCCAACGACAATGTAATCTTTGGTTCCACCCGTTAATCTAAATGCCATTAACGATCTTATAATTCCAAAAACTTCAACAGTTAATAGTGTGTGCACTTTTCCTGTATTTGGATCAGGTCTCAATAATTCGAGTGATTTCCCTCGAGAAACCAATATCTCTTGCATTTTACTGCCGGAAAAATTGCCATGAACGGCATGTGTAATGCCGGTGGCACGTTGAAGCGTCAAATTGTAAAGATACATTTTACCGACGCTTATCCAACTATTATAGTTTAAATTCTTTCTACCTTACGCCTTTTTGGCTAATCATGCTAAAATAGAAAAAAGTATTAAAAAAAAATTTAGTAATATTTACAGTAAAAATTAATAATGATAAAAATCAATTATAATTAAACCGTAATATTATTTAATTTAAATGACGTGTCAAAATGAAAGTACTTATACAAATAATTGTAAAATACATTTTTAAAGCCATTAAAAAAAAAAAAGAAAAAAAAACGTTTTACAAAATAGGTTAAGAAATATTGAGAGAGAAAATATTTACCTTCTTTCAGGAAAGCATGATCAATAATTTGCTGGATGTACGTGGATTTTACAATCCTGTAAACGATAATGCCGGTATAAAGAAAATACACTTCTTCTCACCACTATGGTTAATCCGGAAATGACAATATTTTATTCTCATCCGCCTGCCTTCAGCGTCCAGGAAATGATAGTCTGTACAATATAGTTCAAATACATACAAAAATATACAGAAAAACAATTTTCTTATTAGCAAATGAAATATAAACTGTATTAAAAAAATTAATTTAATGTAAAATTACTGACAAAAAAGAAATTGTCACACTAAATAATATTCTAATTGAAATAACAATTAAAAATTATCAATAAATGTTATGTCTTTACTTCACGTAGTACTAGCCAGGGTTGAGTAGTTACTTGACACTTAATGTTAGAACGCGCAACTCACGTAGTACGCATAATAAAAATAAGAAGGAACCTGATTTGTCACTTAATTACCATTTTTAAATTTCCCCGAAAATGTAGACGTTGTTATTGGTTCATGTAAATTTCGCCATTCACACAAATGAACGGGACTTAAAATTATAAAGGTTATGTTCACATGTGCAAAATCCGAACTGTCAAACTCGTAATGTCACTTGACTAATCGTTGAAATAAAATTTAACCTCGAAGTCTTGTATTTCTTGTAAAATTTCTTAGTTAATCAACAAGTTTCACATAAAAGTTTATATAAAACTTGAATATTATATTTTCTTTTATCATTATCAAGTGAGATATTTATAAAATTGCCGCATTTTTATATCATATGAACTGAGTAAAAACGGAAGATGGGGAACCTTGTTGCCAATCGAATGGAAACTTGAAATATTTTTTAGAAAAAAAAAGAATACTTGGTATAATTTCTAGTACCGGTTTGTTAATATAATTTTTTAAATAAGCATAGGCCCCCCAAGAGAGTCTTGTATAAAACTTTCGCGATCGTGTGATATAAGAAAATTTTTTTTTTGACAGTTTCGATGCTGTCTCGTGTACTTACTCCAATTTCTTTATACATCAGACAATGTCTGAAAGCAGTGAATCTGAAGAATTTTTCGACGCAGAAGATGATACCCATCATAGATCGTCAAGGTAATTTATTTTATTGTGATTGTTTTTAATTTTTCATACGGCTGTAAGAAATGTTAGAAGTTATAAAAATTAGAATATACATGTATAGTTTATGACGTTTTCTTACAAAAAGTAAGTGGGGTCTGTTTTTTTTCGTTATATGACAAAATTATAATAATAGTAATATATATTTGACATGTGACACGATCGCGTGCAAGTAAAAATCCTCATGATTTTGAAGAATCATTAATTTTTCTTAATTAACGTTCTTTTTTTTTTGTTTTCTTTAAAGTAAAGAATGTCAGAAAGAAGAATGAAATTAAGAGTAAAATTATTGTTAGTGTTTTTTAATGTAGTAAATTAGTGATTATTTCTAAATTTATTATCGTGTTTGTGATAAATTTTAATAGGTCTAATTATCCATTATATTTTGTTAGTTTTTTGAATTATTGTAATAATTGATATTTCTAATACAATTTTACGGGATTTTCAAGTGTCTTGTTTAAAAAAAAATTAAAAGAGTGTTAAGAGAAAACGTTAATCACGTATCATTAATAGGATTTTAAAAAAGTGTTACAGTAGTCTTTAAGAAAGTTCTTTGTTTTGTAATCTTAAATGTTATTGACTCTTGACTAATGAGTTTATACATTATCTGATTTCTAGGAGAAGTAAAACTCATCAACCGGCTCCTGTTGAACCACAGGATGAGAAGCCGGAGGCAAATAAACAAATTGATGATCATGTATTCGTGAAACCCGTTGACCCAAAGCCTATTCCAGAATCAAGAAGTCAAGTGGGCTTAGAAACAAAACAAAATGCCGAGAAAGCTGTAAGATTTCTCTTTTTCGTGACATTCTTTTTTTTTATCATCTTCTTTATTCGAAATTAAAATAATTTTATTTTCAAATATATTTAGGATGAAAATGATAAAGGAACAGACAAGAGTGTCGAGAGACGAAGATTTCGTGAATTACGTCAACGAATGCAAACAGAGGACGATGATATTCCAATTAATAATTCACCGCCCGATAGTCAAACATCTTCCATTGAGGGTGTTTATCCAACGCCTTCAAAAACATCACATCCATTTAAAATTATTGAACACGATACATTTAGTTTACAAAGTATGACTTCCTTGGGTCGTGTTGGTCGACTTTTAGCTGGCACATCGGACACTGCATCAAATTATCAATATCCATCAAATGTTTTATCACGTAGCAGTCAAATGTCATCAATAGCAAGTATTTCAAGTAAAGATGAAGATGTTGCATCGGGTAAAGTTTCACAATCTTCCAGTAGTTTAACACTATCGGGTGAAATGCTTCAGGATTCGATAAATGGTAAATCAAATTGTTCCACATCATCATTAGGTGATAATAAACCCGCATTACTTCAGGAGCCAGATGTTATTGCGAGTACGAAAAATAATAATATTAATAATAATAACAACAATAATAATAACAATAATGGAAAGTCAGCTGATTCACAAAATGGTTCCATTCCAAAAGTGCCCGTCGCACCTCCACGACGAAAAAAGAAAACGAAAATACAAACACCGACTGAACTCAGTGCCGTAAGATTTTATTATTATTTTAAATAGTTATTTTTCGATATTTATTTCAAAAAGGTATTTTTAATTTAATTTTTTTTGATATACAATTTTCTTGTTAATATTTAGCCTCCACCAAAGGAGACTGTGGTATCTACGTCGCCATTACCTAGTCCTGCGAGTACCATTGAATCAATCACTAGGGACCTTGAACATTGTCTTGATATTCGATCAGCTACGAAAGGGCAATATGTAGTAAAACCACAGGTAATGTATTAATTTTAATAACAAAAAAAGGCAAAAAGTGACTTTCCTTTTTGTTTCTTTCAATATTGCAATTCCCGATTTTAAAAAGCTATTGGTTTTCATTTATTTTTAATTTTTTTTTCAGGATGAGGATAAATCGCGAGCAGAGGGACCTTCATCGGAGGAATTGGAAAGAATAGAAAGAATGAAAATTGAATTACTAAGTATTCCTTCAAGTGACAAATCAAATAGTCCATTGGGATCAATATCGAGCAATAGTGTTGGTCGTTATTCTTTAGGACCTCATAAATTAACCGGTTTTAATCCTCATGGTTCTAAGGAAAGGCGCAAATCCGCTGGTGATCAAGATATGGTTAAACAGCTCAATATGCTTGTAAGAACACGAACAGATTCTGGAAAACGTCTCACTGATATGGTAATAATTAGTGTAATTATCATTTTAGATTTTATTTTTAAAATATTTTAATTTTACTTCTATTTTTAAAAGAAATATTATAATTTTGAAAAATAATGTTTTAGGAAATTTTGGAGCAGGTAACTGTATTGAATTTGGACACAGGTGAAAGAGTGCCACTGAGTATTGCTGAAGATAAATTACCACAATGTGTAAATCCATTGTCGTTGCATATAATGAGATTAACGTCCGAGTACATAAGTAATACCAATTTAGAAAAAGAAAAAGAAAGTGATGAGGAGAGTGTCGATAGTAAAATGTCAAGTTTACCACCGGATGAAGAATTATCAGTTGGTCGTGTACGTAAGAGGACACAAAAATTAAAGAGACTTTTAGGCTCAACAGTGAAGAAAACAATGGATAAAGCAAAATCAATTGCCCAAGAAGTATCACATGCAAGACATAAGGAGGATGTAATGGATATTGTCGATGAAGTGAATCCTGGCGAACAACAATGGATTAAATTGAAAGCATCAAATAGTCACAAGGGACCTTATGAATTTGGTAATTTACAACATGTTCAAGATTTAAGTGGTGAACACGTTGGTCCAGTTTGGTGTATGAAATTTTCCGCATGTGGACGATTATTGGCAACGGCCGGACAAGATAAGGTATTGAGAATTTGGGTATTACGTGATGCGTTCACTTATTTTCAGGATATGCGCACGAAATATAATGCTGAAAAAGTGAGTCCAACACCATCACAAGAATCATTGGTGTCACAACAATCGATGGAGGATCCAAATGTGATAGCGAGCGCCTTTAGTGAAATTGAAGGTACCAAGTGTCCTTTTATGCCAAAACCATTTTGCACATACGCTGGACATACATCCGATCTATTGGATGTATCATGGTCGAAAAATTATTTTATTCTTTCATCATCAATGGATAAAACTGTTCGTTTATGGCATATATCGAGAAAAGAATGTCTATGTTGTTTTCAGCATATTGATTTTGTCACTGCTATTGTATTTCATCCGCTTGATGATCGTTTTTTCCTTTCGGGTTCATTGGATGGTAAATTACGTTTATGGAATATACCGGATAAAAAAGTTGCCGTTTGGAATGAAGTTGATGGGACGACAAAATTAATAACGGCGGCAAATTTTTGTCAAGATGGACAATTTGCTGTTGTTGGCTCATATGATGGTCGATGTATTTTTTACATCACTGATCAATTAAAATATCATACGACAATTCATGTGCGATCGACGAGGGGTAAAAATTCAACGGGTCGTAAAATAAGTGGCATTGAACCAATGCCGGGTGAAGATAAAATATTGGTAACATCAAATGATAGTCGCATTCGTTTATATGATTTACGTGATTTAAATCTCTCGTGTAAATACAAGGGCTATGTGAATGTGAGCAGTCAAATAAAAGCAAGTTTCAGTCCCGATGGACAATATATTGTTAGTGGATCGGAGAATCAATGTATTTACATTTGGAAAACACATCATGATTATTCAAAATTCTCAAGTGTTAGACGTGATAGAAATGATTTTTGGGAAGGTATTAAAGCACATAATGCTGTTGTGACTTGTGCTGTTTTTGCACCAAATCCAGATACAATTATTAAGCAAATTGAGGCACGTGAACAAATTGATAATAAGCAAGATTCAAAAAATATTGATAGTATCATTTCACATGATACGCCTGTTGATCCAGTTGTTGAACAACGTACTAAAGGTTGTGGCGGTCACGTTCTTGTCAGCGCTGACTTTAACGGTTGCATTAAAGTGTTCCTGAATAAAACAAAACCAAAGCATAGTTCTTTACCAGCTTCTGCTCTCGCGTAATTGACGCTATATTTGTAAGTAACAAAAAAATTGGCGAAATTTTAATGGGAAAAGAAATATTGTATATCTTTTAAATATTTCAATAATTTTCAACATTTTTCATTAAAATATTTTTTATCCCATTAAAATATCATAGAATGATCATCCTAGGATGTTAAAATATATTTCGAGAAAATTGTTTCAGTAGAATTTGCAATTTTGCAAATAAAACAAATTGAAAATGTTGTAAATACAAAGAGAGAAAGAGAGAGAGTATTTTAAACACAAGCTTTGAATCATTTTTCCGTACGCATATATCTAATTAAGTATTGGAAGAATATTCTTTTTCTTTTGTTTTCTAATTATCAAAGTTAAAGTTGATCAATATTTATCAATCAAATTCTATTATAAATTTAATTTATGAAAAAGTTTTAATTGTAAATTAGTTTTCTAATTTTTCATAAGTGGGATTTTTTAAAAATTGATCAACTTTGTCTGCTTGTGCCATTTGTTTTTGTTGTTTTTTTTTTCTTAATCACCAAATATTTAATAAATGAAAGTTCCATTTTTATCAATAATATTGACGATAAATAGTTAGCACAATTATTGCAAACAGTGGTATTAAGGAATTATTATATAAATAGGCTCTGCTGAAATGACGCATACATCGAATATTATTAAAAGAAAAGACCATAGAATTCAAAAAAGAATTTTTTCATTTTCAAAATTTATAAGAAATGGGTCAAACAAAATTGTGAATTTCAAAAAAGAAATATTTTTTGAATTTTTAAAATAATTCTCAAACTTTTTAGAAGAAAATTTAAAAATGTTTTGCAGAAGAAATTTTTAAAATAAACGACCAGAAAATTTTATTTGAATTATTTCTCTTTTTTGAATTAAATTTAAAAATTTTATCACGTAAAAAAATTGCAGTATTAAAAATTGTGTCATTAATTAAAATTATAATTTCTGAATTGCATACTTATTTAATATCTTAATTATTTGAATATCACTCCAAAAAGTGAAGGGAAATAAAATACTTTTTAATCTACGGCCTTTTCGAGCTTTTTTTGAATAATCAAGCAAAGCTTCACTATTTTCAGTAATTTTTTGGGAACTAGATAGTAATAAATTTACACAAATTAATTATAATAGGATAATATATATATATATATAAATTAATGGAATCAGGTTCACGGTCGATGGTTTAACAAATAATTTTCAGTGTACTTTTTTTCAGACAAAAAATATTTTCTTTTCTTCAATTCTACTGATTGCGTTAAATAGAATAACAATTTTTTTTTTTAATTATTTCCCAATTTATTTATATAAATATATAAATTAAGGATACGATGAATTTTATATTAAAAAAAAAAAAATCGCGATAACTTAATATTTAGTAAAGTGTGATTATTTTGTAATCAATTTTTTCTATATAACAAATTTTTGAAGTTATGATAAATAATTGAAAATATTAATTTTGCTTTTTATGCTTATTCATTTTTTTGTGGTGAAAAAAAACGGTTTTACTTTTTGATCCTTATAGTGCAATGTACATTTTATTCTTTTGTGTACTATTTTTTTTTGGCACTGTTTATAATAATACACTGTCAAAAATTTATTTGATTGAAATAATTTGTTAGAATTGATTATTAAATAGAATTTTTTGTATTTATCTTTCTAAAATTGTAGAAACAGTAAAATATTTTTTTAAATTTTTTAGCACATTTTGTGGATTTAAAATTAAGCAGAAAAATTGTTTAATTATAGTGATTTTAATATTTATTAAAATTACAAAAAAAAAGATTTTTTAAAATTTCTTTTGAATAGATTTTGAAACGAGTGTGTAATTGAATCATGTCAATTATATAAATTTCAAATAAAAAAAAAGAATGTATAAAATCAAAATTAATGTTGAGTAACGTTTAGTGGACTGAAGATCTGAAACAGCATTTTTTAAAATATGTTAATGTCTTTGTTTTTAAATTCATAGGCAACAAAATATATGCATGTAATTTCTCTCTTTTAAAAAAAATAATATTTGCATTGAAAGCAGTCCAGTTCAATATTAAATAATTTCTGCTTTGACATTTATATATAAATATAGCAAAAAGAAGCAAAAAAAAAACGTTTTGTAATCACTTCGATTTTCCGTAAAAACGGAGAAAATCGTAATTACATATATTATGCTAATCAAACTGATTAATTAATAAATACCGATGTATTTAAATTAAAAAAAAGAAAATTAAAATACAAAATTAAATTTAGAAAAAGAAACAGTATACGGCGTATGAAAAAAATTTCTTTTGTCATCACTTATGTGTGCGCTGTAAATATTATTTAAAAAGAAAATTAATGTAAATATGAAAAAAAAGAAATTAGGTTTATTGTAAAAACAAAAAGAAAAAAAAATAAGAAAACAACAAAATTGTAATTGTAAATATTTTTATCGGCGTAGTAAGAAACTTATTGAAGAGCGAGATTATTGCCATTTCGTTTTGTGGCGTGCACAAAAATAATAATTTGTTATCTTACAGTTCCATACGTTATATTATATACAATAAATACATTGTATTGTCACATTAAATGTGTCTATGTTTTTGGGTTGCTGACAATAAGCGCTAATAAACCTGAAATATATGAAGTTTTTACCTCTTGTCACTATATAAACCTCATTTAAAAATTATTTTTATATTTTTAAAAATTAAATAATACTTTCTAAATATTTAATTATTCATAAAAGAAACTAGTTTTTAATAATTGTAATTATTTTGCATTTTTATAATTATATTTATTTATTTCAAATGATGAAATTTTATCTCTTGTATATATCTTAAATTCTTACCATTATTAGCCTGAAGGGAGAAGAAGTGATAATTATTTTGTATGAAAAGATTTAAAAAAAAAGAAAATAATCTTTCTCCTCGTCATTAGTTTTTAAAATTATGACATGGTAATTGCTCATATAACGGCTGAGACATCAGTCATTTAATTAACCTGTTTGAAAAGTATTTTAGAAGTACATTATTCTTTTAAAGTCAAAATAGAATCCGTAAAAGATTAAAAAATGTTAATTTCTTTTTTAATGTTAAATTTTGTTTAAAAAGTACAAATTGTTTTTATTTTAATGTTTTGGATAAATAAATAATAATAATAATAATATTTTATTACATTATTTATTTGTCCTAGAAAATATTAAATTCATTTTATTTTCAAGTAAAGTTCTTGGAAATTTTTAATTACTAGTTTTAATGAGCATCAAAAGATCAAAATTGTAATTTTGTGTATTAAGAATTCTTTTTTTATTATTCAGCGCTCAAGAAGCAAAGTAAAGAATAGAAATGAAAGTTTAATGTAGAGTTTTCACTTGAAAGGCATGACAATCGAAAAAATATTAAATGTATTTTATTGATTAATCCATATCAATGAATAGAAGTTAAAAATGATTTGTAATATTTTATTCTAAATTTATTAATTGTATATGAAATGAAAATTTTGTATTTTAGCAAAAAAGAAAGTTTTTAGCAATAACGATTCAGAAATATTTAATTTTTCTTTATTGAAAAAATTAAAAAAAACAATTGTTCCTACTTCAATTCAATTGGAATTAATTTTTTTTTAATTGTTTCAATCGATTGGAGTTGAATCTTACACTATCTTGTGAGTGAAAATTAAATATAAAATTGATTTTAACTCTCAAGAAGTTTAAAAATTAATTTTTAATTTAAATTTTCTTTTAATAGCGATGGGATAATTTTCGAATTTCTACTCCAAAAGAGTGAAAATTTATTTGAATTTTAATTCAAATTTTTTTACTACAAAAAAAATTTGATTGTAGATACTAAAATTTACATAAATGTTTTTTGCAATTTTTAGTGCAAAAATCCTTTTCGATTTAAGTTTTTAATACCTATTACCTGGAGTGAAATTCACTCCCCAAGAAGAGTAAAATTTACTCCCTTGGAGTAAATTCTTTTCGTTAAATTTTATTTTAGATTTTTTATTTTTTTAAACTTATTTTCTAATAAGAAATAATTTTTGAAAAAATTAAGTGTCCCAAATTTTTTACTCCCAAATAAGAGTGAAATTTCCCATGAAAAAAAAAATTGAGCAAATATGTAAATTTCTAATTTTTGGACCACACATTATGGAATTTACATACAAATAAATATCAATTGTTACAAAAGACGGAACTAATGTAAACTATGTATAAATATGTGAACGTCGCTGAAGAGGAGGATAAGGTCGTGCATACTTATGGGTATATGCTATATCGATTTACCGGACACACCGATTCGTGTCAAGTTTGGCGTGACCGGTGTGTATTTCCTTAAAAGTGGGGATTAGGTTCAATCGTGCCAAACGGGAAAGGTTGCAAGAGAGGACCAGTTGGGATATAATAATAAGTGTGTACTCACGTACGCGTTAAAGTGGGGACAAGTGGGACGGAAGATGGAAACAAAAGAGAAACATCCAATGAGACGACAAAAATTCAAGTAACATTCTTTTTTTTCATTTCATATATATTTTCATACAATTAAACAAAAAAAAATCAAAAAAAAAAAATTTATAAAATTAAGAAAAATCTGGCTGTAAACAAAATATTCTTAAATTGAGAATATATATTCTTAATTTAAGAGTAAAAATAAATGAAGAGAGGAAAAATTTGAATATAAAGATACAGTAAACTCTCGATTATTATTTGTCTCTCTTATCGAGGGTTTAGTGTACGTTTCTTTTTATTAAATAAATTGTTAGTTATAGTTTTTTAATAATTAACTTTCCAAATACAAACTAATTTTCATAATTATTATAATTTTAATTAATTATAATTTTTATTATATTTTTCTATCTACAAGTCTATTATCGAGGGTCTACTGTATTTGTATTTGTTTCTTCAGTTGTTCAAAAAAGTGAAAATAAATTTTAAATATATTTAAATTTTATTTATAATGTAAATTTAATGTTAATATTTTAATTAGTATTAATTTAATTAATTAATATTTATATTAATTAGTTATTAATTAAATTTTTAGAAAAAATGGCCAGTAATTGTGGCACTAGATCTTTAATAAAATAAAAATACAGTACATATTGTAAATTGTATATTATCGAGGGTCTAGTGTTTGTTATATTATTCAAGGGTCCAGTGTATTTTAAATATTTGCTTATATATAAAAATGTGGTATATTATCGAGGGTCGAGTGTAGATTAAATATTTACTTATTTATAAATGCGGTATATTATCGAGGCTTCAGTGTAAATTAAATATTTACTTTAAAATGCGATATATTATCAAGAATATAGTGTATGTTATATTAACAAGGGTCCAGTATATGTTAAATATGTACCTTTATATGAGATATTAGTATATTTATCCAGAGTCAATTGTATATTAAATATGTACCTTTATCTGATATACAGTACATTTATCGAGGGTCTAGTGTAAGTAAAATATTTATTTATAAACTATATTATATTATATTATACTATTGTGTATATTATGTATATTATTATCTTATTGTGTATGTAATATTATCGAGGCTCCGGTGTATGTAAAATATTTACTTGTAGGTAACATATGGTATATTAATCAAGAGTCCAGTGCATATAATATTATCGAGGGTCTAGTGCATGTTAAATATTTATACCTATATATATTTTTTGCAGTTTATTATCGAGGTTCTAGTGTATATTATATGTTATCAAGGACACAGTGTATGTTATTGAGGCTCCAGTGTTTATTATATATTATCGAGGATCTACTGTATTTAATTGAGGTTCCAGTGCATGTTATCAAGGGTCTAGTGTATGTCATATATTATCACGGATCTACTGTATGCAATCGAGGTTCTAGTGTATGTTATCGAGGCTCCAGTGTATATTATATGTTATCGAGGATCTACTGTATTTAATTGAGGTTCCAGTGCATGTTATCAAGGGTCTAGTGTATGTCATATATTATCACGGATCTACTGTATGCAATCGAGGTTCTAGTGTATGTTATCGAGGCTCCAGTGTATATTATATGTTATCGAGGATCTACTGTATTTAATTGAGGTTCCAGTGCATGTTATCAAGGGTCTAGTGTATGTCATATATTATCACGGATCTACTGTATGCAATCGAGGTTCTAGTGTATGATATCGAGGGCCCAGTGTATATTATATATTATCAAGGATCTACTGTATGGAATCGAGGTTCAAGTGTATATTATATATTATCAAGGGTCCAGTGTATGTTATCGAGGCTCCAGTGTATATTACATTATAGATAATACAATATATTATCGAGGGTTCAGTGTCTATAAATTTTCACAGAACATAAACTACATTATCAAGGGTCTAGTACATAAATTTCGTGGGAAACATTTGTAAATTTCCACTATATCAATGGATAAATAAATAAGAAATAAACGTTGATAGCTATGAAAGTGAGTTCTTCATATAGCAACCATCTATCTCATCATTGAATCAGTATGCGTTATTGAGTGGATGTTTCGAGGATGAAAATGAATACTGAACGGTTGGTTTTGAGTATATACATATATATGAATGAGTGTATATATGTATATATACCTTGGGCGATGATTGCGGCGGCGATGGATCTGTGCACGGCTAAGAAGGAAATATCTTCAAGTGAACGAGGGACCTACATAACTGTACCGCGTGTCTGGGTCAGGGGGCGGTCCGCCACGTTATAGTATACTCTGTATATCGGACAGGTGTATCCCATTCTGACTTCACGAGTTCTCGCGTACACCTTTGCTTGGCACGCATCTAGCTACCGCGCGACGATAAACCGCGTATAATACAATCTCGAGACTATCCGGCGCGTCTATATACAAGAAGAGAGATAGGGTATATTTGCCGGCGACTCGTTCATACCTCACGAGTCAGGTATTATACATCAAAAAGTTAACAGCGTGCGCGCTTTTTTTTTTTTTTTTTAAATATAATGTTTAAGTTTCATTACAAGTGTCGTGCTTCGTAATTGCAATTTTTTTCGGATCTTATACGTTAATATGACAATAATTTTATCATTGTATATTTCGTGATTACTGTGTGGTATAGTTATTTTTAATTTATTTTTTTTTGGGGTGCCATTTGGACAACTTCGCACGTGTCATTTTTATGCAACAGGTATTTTTTTACCTTTAATTTTTTATATACGGTTTGGATGGGGAGAAATAAAAAAAATGGACTATTTAGCAATTTCTGATAATAGATTTTTTTTAGAAAATTTGTATTTGGTAATTACTATATAACGAAAATTTTTTAATTCTTTAAATAATTTAATTATTTTTATTAATATTTCTTATATATAATTGCCGGTTGAGTTTGGCTCGATTTTATCCAGTCAATAAAATAATGAAATGGTAATATAATCAATGAATTCATTATTTTATTTATATACTTAATTAATTTCAGTTGTAATTACATTTATAAAGGCAGTTTACAACTCTTTGATATACAGTTAATTAGTAATTAAATGGTTAATTGTTAATTAATAATAATTAACAATTTTATAATTAATTTAGTTGTTAAATTTATTTTTTAATTTTTCGATATTCCATAGCCATTTTCATTGGAAAACTATTTGTGATTCACGATATTCTAATTCTAAATAATTGCCTCTTATTTTAAGAATAGTCTCTTTTCAAGAATATTATATACTCTAAACGTAAGAATAAAATTTATAATAAAAAAATAAGTAAATAGAATTAATTAAATTGATATTCTTAATATAAAGTAATAATTATTAAATTAGTAAATATTCTAATTTTGAGAATATTAAATTTATATATTCTTAGAATGAAACCAATAAAATTATATATTGGTTTCAGTGTATGACAAATAACTATTATAACTGTTATTTGTCGCAGTAATAAAACAAGTATATTATTCAATGAGTTGAGTTTACAAATTGTCAAAAAGATATATTACAAAATTACCTTTCGACAGTCTGTTGTTTTAGTATAGTATATAATACTAAAATTTAGCATATTCATATATCAAATTCAAATTTTGTTGGGATGACCAGTTTATAACTTTCGTAAATTCCTTCTAACGGTTTTATTAAATATTCAGAAAAAAAACCATATATGTATATATATATACTAGAACATCATTTGAATATATATACTGAACTTTATTTTGTCAAATGTCGTTTAAAAACATTTTGGTTTAAAAAATCACATTTTTCTTACCGTTACTAAATTGAAATTTAAAAATAAAATTTTAATGTTACATATTAAAAATTTTATTTTACATCATAAAAAAATTGATATTAAGAAGAAAAAAAAATACAAAAATTTCACGATGTAATAAATAATATATTATTATTATTATTCTAAATTTTATTTTTTGGTAAAATAACATATTATTTACAATATATAATAAATAATAAATTTATATGCAATCGAATTTGTCTTTTAATAATAATTAATAAGATATATAATTGTTCAATATTAATTAATTATTGATTTATAACTTGTTAATTATCAATTATTTTTTTATTAGTTAATAATAATAATAAATTTCAATTAATTAATTGAATTTATATAAAGTGTAACGTGACAAATAAATGAAATTATTGAGATAAATCAGTTTTGCGAATAAACGTGCGTCTGACCAATATTGAGCGTAACTACTGAATGCTACTTATACTACTTGTTTGACACAGAATAACATATTCTACTTAATTTCTATATATAAAATATGAAAATTACATCCTATTATTGAAACAATATGACAATACAAATAATATATAATATTTTGAATGAAATTTACCAAAAGTATGATTTTTAATGAGGACCATATATATATATAAAGATAGATTGCATCTAATTAATTCAGTGCAATTATATCATTTGCTTCGCGCGGCATGAAACGAAAGCTGATATCAATCGCTGGTTGTGCATATAACGAGTCTCTTATATTATGTGTAACAAAGATTCATTTTCACAGTTTAGGTATATAAAAATATATTGCTCTTCCCACCGTATGTGAGAAAAGAATTTATCAAATTGTTTGGGAATGAGTATAATTGCCACTATTATTATTATTATTATTATTATTATTATTATTATTATTATTTTTATTATTTGTTTTAAGAAAGGTTATATATATATATATATATATATATATATATATATATATATATATATATATATATATATATATATATATATATATATATATATATATATATATATATATATATTTTAGTGACCTTTATTCCATTTCTCTTCGATATAAAAACTTGACGAATTATTTTCCTTTACAAAATTAAAAATAGTTAATAATAACAAAAAAAAACATATAATTAATTAATAAAAAAAATTTCTTTCACTTTGATAATTGTGCCTAATTTATTGTCATTTGGGCTTTTACTTTCATATAGTTATTATATATAAGAAAGTAAAATATATATAAAAATTTTTTTTTTATATCAAATTAATAAAGTTCCTTTCGCTTTTTATTCTTTTAAAATAAAAATATATTCCAATTACAAAAAATATAATTTCTTCTATAAAAAATGGAAACTTTTTCATATTTTTGTTAAAGAGAAAATATTTTTTCAATAAAAGAAAAATAGTTTTAAAAATACAAAAGAAAAAAAGTCTCAAATAAAAATTATAATTTGATGGAAACAATTTTTATTAATTGAAAAACAAAAACATTAATTAATCTTGTGATATACTAAATTAATATATATAGAGGAATGTTTATCATGCATAATTCATTAGAATTTCATTGAAATAATTAATATATTTTCTCTATTATAAAAATTCCAGAAAAGTAATTAAAATTTTTAGACAAATATCTTTTAAACAATAATAAATTGATTATATTAATAATAATAATAATAATAATAATAATAATAATAATAATAATAATAATGTGACAAATTACTGTTAACTGTTCTAGTTTTCTCTATAACTCGAGTTTTTGAATATAATTTAATAATTATCATATATTTAGATATTCTTGTACTCATTTTTCGATATGATAAATCATTATATGAAAATTTTAACGCGTGCCTCATAGAAAAAAAAGAAATTTAAATCGAAATATTTTGTTCCGCTTTTTATGTTAAACTTGTCAAAATCCTTTTTTAATTTTTTTTGGATAATTAAATATAAATATAAAAATAATTTGCAATTAATAATGCGAATAGAAAATTTGTTTCCTCACTTTTCGGAAATACAGTGAAATTTTCTTAAATAAAAAAAAGGAAATCTTAAAATGATTTTCTAAATAAATAGACCATGTATAGGATAAATATACTTTCAATAGATATTTGAATAAAAAATCGTTTCCTAATGGTAGATTAGTGATGACGTACATAAATATATATATATATATAAAAAGAATTTCTTTCAGTTAAATAAATATTGACTTATTTTTAAATTGTGTCATGAACTTTATATACAAAAGACCCACAAAAAAATTTCGTCGGTAGCTTCTAAGGATTTTGTTAAATGCCTCTCAGGGAGAACCGACTAACAAGCCACTTTAAATTCTTAAAACATGGCTAAAAGTCAAATAAGCATAAAAGTCATAAGGAAATTTATATATATAGGACAGCAAAAATTTATAGACGTTAATATAAACACGGAATTATATAAATTAATTTTTTTTTTCTACAATAATTCCTCTATTATTTGCATATTATTTTCGATTTGACGAAATCCTTTCAAAATAAGAATATTCTTATTGGAAGAGAAAAATTATTTTTTCCTTTACGGAAATGTCTTATATTAAGAGTTATTATGAGTTTAAAAATAAAATAAAATCCTACCTATATAGTAAACGGAAACTCTTAGTAGAAGAGGAAAATATTTTGTCACATTTTTTACGAGAAAAAAAAAACATTTCTGCATCCAAGGATGGTATTCTTATTTTGAGAGGTTTTCGCCATATAGAAAGAAAAATTTTCCTCTTAATGTGAGATTACCAGTTTTCTACGTCGCTTTTTGTGGGTCAATTAAAAAAAAAATGGGTAAAAAAAACATGATTATGAAATTTTTCTGAATGAATGAAAATAAGTATGAATGAAATTTATATATTTGTTTAACGACTTGTTGATTAAACAGTAGTCTTTAAATGTGGTTTAATCAATTATTTCCGTTCGCATTTCTTCTATATATATATATATGTGTGTGTGTGTGTGTCTGCACCTGCCAGTGTGGTTGCTTACTTTATGCGGTTGCGTTATGCTGTGTAACCACGTGGAGGCTGATAGCCGGTTAATCCTGTCTCATTGTAGATAAATTCATGGAAGACAGCGGTCTCGTGATGCCTCAGACTTACGGCTCTTTTGCCATCAATCGCGATCTATCGAAATCAGACTTTACTGTCGATCCACATTTTTTTTTTCATCACCACTCAGACATTGACTACTCGTTTTCTTTCCTTTACAAATATATATCTAAATTCCTCAAAAAAAAATACAATTAATTGGGTTAATCGATATTAAAAACATTGTTCAAGTACTGTGGTGTTAATTGAATATTACTAATTAATTTATTACTATTTTACCAAAAATTAATAATAGCTAATAATTAATATTAATTAGATTGCTAAATTAATTACAATTAGCTACTAATTACACTTAATACTAATTATAATTAACTCGTTAAAAATTACAATTAATTAGTTAACAATTAATTAATTAATAATTATAATTAATTAATAAATAATTATAATTAATTAATTAGTTAATATTTACAATTAATTAATTGTCAACTAATTATAATAAAATTATTAGTTAAAAATTATTATTAGTTGCCTAATAATTACAATTAACTTGTTAATAGTTACAATAATTTAGTTAATAATTACAATTAGTTGGCTAATAATTACAATTTATTAATTAGTAAATAATCATAATTAAAGTCAACGTGGCTGCGTGGTTAGCGTTTACGGTTTTTGTCTCTTAGACGCAGGGTTCGATCCCGGTAGCGTGCAAAATTTTTTAAATTAAACAGTTTAATAATAATTGCAATAATTAGTAATAAATAATATTTAATTAATTAATTAGTGCAAACAATTAATTTGTCATCTAATTGTAAAAATGGCAAAGTAACAATTAATAATAAGTAATCACATAAATATTGTTAATAACAATAGTTAATTTGTCAATTAATTAACTAATAATTACAATTCGTTGATTAATAATTACAATTAATTAGTTAGGTAACAATTCCTATTATCTATAGTTAATAATTATCAAATAAATTGAAATTATAGAGTAATTAATAATTATTAATTAATTAGTAATAATTATTAATTAAAATAATTAATAATTGTTGATTGAAATAATTAAATAATTGTTTGATTGAAATAATTACTAATTATTGATTAAAATAATTAATAACTATTTATTAAAATAATGAAAGTAATTATCTTATTAAGAACAAATATCCTTAATAAATTGAAAATAAATACTTTTTCACATATATTTTAAGAAATTCATGACTAGTAATACAGGTGTGACCGTTATATTGATAAAAAGTCGTCCACTTGAGTTGGCTTCTCGTTTTCCAGAAAAATGTCAATTTACATTTGACTGTATATAAGTATACTTATATATATAAATTTTTTAGGGAGAACAGAATAAGGCACATTCCAAAAAGCACGTGGCTCCTTTAAAACAAAATTTATTCAAAGACCCCGATTCTCTGACTAGATAAATAAAGACAATTTCATTGAATACCATGGCGTGAATTGTGTATTTATGAATAAGAAGAAGAAAAAAAAAAGAATGAAGAAAAATTTTCCTTCTCTCCATTTTAAAACAAAGCATAATTTTACAGTTATATACATTATTATATATACGATATAGATGTATTGTATTATTTTCTAAAAGTATAATATATATAATAATATATAAACCTTTTATCTTGATACGCTTTCATCTAATCATACGCCTACCAAAAATGTAAATATATAATAATAAATATTTTCACTGACACAGATAGCAAAAAGAAAAAAAAATGGAGTATGTATGTATAAGAAAATTTTATTGTATTGAAAGTTATAGTAGACAAATTATAGACTTTCAATTATATTGTGTATGTATAGTGTAAGTTACGCTCTATTTCATCGTTTATATAGTGCCATGCGTGACATGGCTTCGTTCCACGTTGCATAATATTAATTTAATTGTTCCTTTTTTTTTTTAAATTGTTTATTTACAAAGAACAGGGATGGCAAATGTAATAATTTAACGATTTCCTCTAGATTTAAAAGTATTTGTAGATTTGAATTTCTTTAATTATTATTTACAATATTTAATTATTTAATTATTATAATTTAAAACGAAAAGGAAGGAATTTTTTTCTGATATTCTTCAGAAGGAAAATTTATTTATATTTAAAAAGAAATATTCTAAAATTGAGAATAATTACTATGCATAACAGAATTAGGTAACTTAAGTATATGCACTTGAATACACCGTAAATACTTAAAGTACATTCAAATTTTTAAAGCACACAAGTTGAAGAAACATATATACAAAAATAGAATAATGAAATAAATTATGTAAATTGCCAGGAAAGGGTTACAGTTCCAAAAATGAGATTCAAGGCCTGGTAGAATATCGACCTAGAAATATAAATCCGATAAGCTATTAAAGAAATCTTATTATCAAAGAAACGATATTCTTAATTTCAGATTATAATCATGTTATTTTAATAATTTATGTACAAAAATATAATTCTTAGAAGACAAGATTTTATTCTTCAAATATTGTTTTCAAAATTTATTTAAATAAATATTCTTAATTTTAGTATATTTATTTAAATTATTGTTTAAATTGAAAAGTATTCTTATTTAAAAATTATTGCCGTTTATGTATATTCTTATTTTAAGAATATTTCCTTGTATGTAGAATATTCTTATTTGAAGAATATTGTCTCGAATTTATAATATTCTTATTTTAAGAATATTGCCAATTGGAATATTATTATTTTAAGAATATTGTCTTGCATATAGAATATTATTTTATTAAAAATATTGCTTTGCATTTAAAATATTCTTATTTTAAGAATATTGCTTTCTAATTTTGTGAAAATGAAATGTAATATATAAATACTAAGAGCAGTGATTATATTCTCAAATTTAGAATATTATTCTTTTTTCGCTATGTAAAGAAATTCTTGAAACGGATTGAAATCCATATAACTGATCGATAGGGAAAGTTGGTTTGACGATAAGTGAAAATTATCGCAGTTTAAATTTATATGCAGATATATAAATTAATTGACAGCTGAGGTAAATAAATAATAATAATAATAATAATGAAATTTCACATATATATGTGCGATTTAAAATCCAGACGTCGAACCGTTGCTTTAAGTGGAGACAACTTTATACGTCTGGCGTTGGAACATTTACGGGAACGTGAATGACCCGATGGTGAATGCCTCGAGGTCCCGTAATCGTTTTGCTTTTGCTGTTTTCGATGCCCAAGGGCATTTCTAGCGAATCCGTTCGATTTAATCGGATCCCCAGCTTCTTTTGGCACAAATATATTAACGAGCACCTTGACCTCATTTTAGATATAAAGTTCGATGAACGAAAAATAAGTATTATAATCTCATATATATATATATATGTACAATATATATTGCAAACACTAACGGAGAGTTTCATTTTTCGACACTAAAAGTCTTCTTTTTTTTTTATTTTAATTTCAGTGTATGACCTATAAAAGCGAAAGCGCATTGTCACGCACTAAAATGTAAATCTTATATTAAGATAAATTTTAAATTAAGTCAGTGTTACATTCTGAAAAGATTTTCGAATTTAAATCGAAATTTAGAGATCATTTGTTTAAATTAATATTAATTATTAATTATAAATTAAAAAATAATTAATTTTAATGCAGTCTTAAAAGGAGACTATTTTCAGCATGTTAAGAAAAATTTTTGCTCTTAATGTCAGATTACAAGGCATTAAAATAAGTCAATATTTAGTCTTATTTTTTACCATTTTTTTTTTATAATGAAGTTAAGGAATCTGAAATTCATGTATATTTAGTTAATTTAGATCTTATTTTTAGTAAAAAATCTTAAAGTAAGATAAGCTTTTTGAAATTAAGATTAAAAAAAGGACTGAATTTTATTTGCTTCGTAAATTTCGATTTATAAACATTTTAATACGGATTTAAATTCAGATTATCATTATTATCAAAACTGACTTTTTATCTTGGTATAATATTTACTTAATTAATCTAAATATAAGACAATAAAGTTCTAATTTTAAGACCTAAATTTTACAGTATAGTAAAAAATTCAGATCCTTTTCAGTCTTAAATTTAAAATAATTGAAAACTAGTGTCAGATAAATTGTTATTTATTTTTTTTCGATCATCATTTATTTTGACGAATATAATTGAGAGAATTGAGAATATTTATATATGGAAATAATATGAAAGTATTTTTATGATGATACTGCCCGAGAAAGTCGAGCATTTGTTTTCAGAATTTGAGATTCGATTGGAAACTCTAGTTATATATTGGTTTTAAAGATTCACGTCGTCGGGTTCGAAAATTTATTCAAAAAACGGTTTCTGCGCATCGAAGGTAACGGCGAGTAAAAACTCGGACAACGAAAGGAATTTAGGGCATGAGTGTCAGTGGCCTATTGGGAAGAAGGCGTGCGATAATCAATGCTCAAATTGCCAGTGATGCTGAATGAATTGTTCACTTTTTTTTCTCTTTTTTTGTTCAACAGAAAATAAACAATCAAATTAAACAATAATAGATCTATATAGATCGTTCCATGCAAAAAAAGAAGGAATAAACGATTTCAATTCACTTCTACTTTTATTTTCATTATTCCACTTAAAATTTCTTGAAACTTTTTAATAATATTAATTGCAATAAAAAAAAAAATATTATTATTTACAGTTACTGTTAATTGTTTTTTTTTACAAATTCTACTTCTTTATAAATAAAATTCATAGTAATTTTTAATATATTTTTCATTTTATAATGATTTTCTGTATCTTTATTTAATTATATACTATTAATTAACCATTAGATTTTAATGTGAAATTTAAGTAAATATATTTATATAGATTATTATGTATCACTCGACAAATTGCAGTAATTTCAAATTAATTGAATTATATTTATCTAACATAGAAATAAAATAATAAAGTTCAATTAATTTCTTACGAGTGAAACATATATATGAAAGTTGATTATAAATTATTTGTAGATAGTTTATACATGCGCAATCAATTAGATAGACAAATATTATCATTTCATAATTTATATGCTCTTGATTTTTTTCTTCTTATTTTATTTATTAGACATATTTATAACAGAAAATATATGCAATAAATTTTGTGAAGAAAATCACTCAATTTAATTAAATTTTATGTAATTCCTATATATATAGGAGGCAATTAATTTATTTCTAATTTTGGAATCACAAATATTTATCATTATTTATTTAATGTAATTATTGTTTTTCTTATTTATTTATATTTATTAAAAATTTATGTTTGGAAAGAAAATGATTATTAGGGAATTCGAAATTTAATGTGCAACAAAAAATAAATAATTAAGTTAAAATAATAAAAGATGGGATTTTATTTAACGTGAAATGGAATTTTGCTGAAAAGTGATTTATATTGAGAGGTAATTGACACGATTGCTACAATAATTTATATCGATAATTTCAAAAATGTTTATAATACATTGTCAGATTCCAATTCTATTTGCGCGCATTTCGTTTGCGGTTTTCCGGCACCATTAACAGACTTCATATAAAGTTATTACAGCACCACCAACAACTTACAATCCACAAATGTTGAAGTAAATTGTGTTTTTCAAAATAAATGTTGTCGCAATTAAAATATATATTTTTTTTACTAGAAAGGCAATTTGGTTCTTTTTTTAATGTACATATGATTTTTTTTCGAATTTATAAATTTGAAATTTTATTGTTAATTTTTATTTCATTCATTTTGATTTTATTAACTTTTCATTAATATATATATTTTTCTGTTATTCCAGGTAATTTTAGTTAATAAATGTGACATCTAAATATTGGGTTCATCAAAATTTTTGTCAATTTGGCGCTATTACCAGGATATTAAAAAAATATAGGTAAAAATTAATGCTTTTAATTAAATATCAAATGTATTTATAAATATTAATAAGAAAAATTTTTTATTTATTTTTATAAGTTAGAAAAAATATTTGAAAAATTTTTTTCCAACAGTGCGCATATTGGGTCACCGTGGACGTCAACGCGGCATGCGGTTACATATTCTCGTTTTAGCCTGTCTCCTTTTTAAGGGGGTGAGTAAATAATAATTTACATTTTTTTCTCAATGTCAAAAGAACTTGAATTATTATTTTTTCTAAATGGGTCGATTAACTTTTGATAATAAATTAATTCTTATTAAAAATTAATTAATTTATTTTTTTAAACAATTTATTTGATTATTTATTTATAACTTTCCCGCAATTTATTTGCTTTGCTTCAAAAAAATAATTTACACATTTTTTTTCAATTTATTAGAAGAAAGCTGTTTTTAAATATTTCTTTCTTTTTATGGAAATATTTCTGCAATAGTTTTATATAATTCCTGGTAATTAATGTAATAGAATTATAATTAAAAAAAGACGCGATTTAATTAATATACACATAAAAAAAATTGGATAATGAGCTAAATTGTATATACTCTTCTAATGTAAATTAACACACATACAAACACACACACACGCGTTGCCTGAGGCGAACATGATCCCTTGTAAATCATATAAGAGAAAAGAAAATTAATGTACATACTTTAATTATAATAATATTGAAGGTATATTTTGTATTTAATTGAAAATTAAACGTTTCTTTTTAATGTTTACAAGATTTTATAAATATTTATAAATAGTTATAAATATTTTTAAAAAGTTATAAATATTTTTAAACAGTTATAAAGATTTTTAAAAATTTATAAATATTTTTAGTTTTAAATTTTGTTAAACAATTATAAATATTTATAAATATTTATAAATATTTATGAATAGTTATAAATATTTATTAATAGTTATAAATATTTATAAAAGATTTATAAAATATTTTGAAATAAAAATTTATGAAATATTGCTAAAAAAGAAGCAAAGAAACGAATTTTTTTATGAGAAAAACGAAAATATCTTATTTTATAACACAATGTTGATAAAAGGCATTAACGCACGTTTTACTTTTTATTAAGTATAGGTATATATACTATATATAAAGTAATGTGATAATAAAAAGTAAAGTAAACGATAATTTACTTCTGACAAATCTCCACTTCCTTTCAAAAACCGGGTCAATCTTGAGATATATCTTTTAGCACAGTATCTAAACCACTCGCAATTTATTATCCAACTTAACAACCTCTCGAAAGCTTATATTCTTTCGAATTATATATTAATCATTTAAGACATTTTTTATTTTTTTTTTGATACAGTTGTAAAAATTACATTCGATTTTTCATTTTCTATATACATGTGACACGCTCAGAAGAGAAGGACCTTAGACAAAAAAAAATTATAGGTTATGTTATACGATAGTTATTTCCTTGATTAAAAATTTTGTAATAAATCACTTTTTTCGGATGTAAGAAAAGATTTAAATTAATTTAATTGAATCGTTTTGAATTGATCCTCTTTGTACATATATTTTTGTTCCAAATTAATAAACATAACCTATAATTTTTTTGCTACTTGGGTCCCTTTCTTAAGACAGAGAGAGACTCATTAATGAACCCGTTGTCTTTTGAAAAAAAAGATTAAATCCCTCTTCTTCTTCTTTTCTTTATCGTTCTGTGAAAAGAAGACAAAAAAAAGAGGGAGAGGGAAGACAGCCAGAATAGGAGCAACGTTGGGACCTCTCTATTGCGTCACACACATGACCCCTTGGGGGTATAACGGGCCATACGTGTCTTAAGTCGCGGGTCAATCGGCCACAGCATTGCTTCAGATTCTGGTCTTCTTTTGCCCCCCTCTCCTTCTCTCTACTTTGGGCCCTTAAACTCCCTCTCTTCCTGCCCCCCCCTTCTCTTTATCGCCCCCCACTCCAAAAAATTCTGCTAAGTAAGTCCCAAGTGTTCTCCTTTGAGTCCCGCATGTTTATCCGCAAATACCCCTCCCTCCCTCCTTTCTTCTCTTCTTTCTCCAACAAAACTACCATCACATCATTCCAACAACACGTACGAACCATACATCTCAAAAGAAAAGTTATAAACGTGTGCCTCGTATACATATATATAACCTACAATCCAACGAATCTTTAAACTCGATTCGACGTTGGTCTCCTTCGAGTAGCGTAGAGGCAATCATTCATTTAATGTTCTCTGCTCATTATTTTGAAGATCCGTGCGAAAACTTTATTTCACATATGAAACTTTTAAAAGAATTTGTAAAGCTCTTTTAGGATAATAGGAATTTTTTTTCATTATTAGAGAAAAGTTTATTTAATTTTTTTTTTTTGAGAGATTATTTCTTTAGATACAGGGAAAAAATTATATTTTGCTTTTTTCGATTTTTTTAAAAAGATGAAATATTCCGGTGTAGAAATTTTGAGAGGGCTCAGATCGGGGTCGGATTAGGCTGCCCTATTAGGGAATGAAATGTCGCGCCTGATGGGGCCCTGATTAGGAAATTCACATTTTTTGGTTGCCTTGATTTGGCTCTGATCAGGTGTGGCGTTTAATTCCCTACTAGGGCTCTGATAGGGCAATTTCTAATACACGGGTTTTAATCTCATAGCTAGAATATCGTAGTTTTAAATATAGAACGTAAATTTCTTAAATTGAGAATATTTTTTAATATTCCTGTTATTTTAAGAATATATCCTAATGTACCCACTGGGAAATAGTTTGGAATTAAAAAATCGGAAGTATCAAAAGAATATTCTCACATTGAGAATAAATGCTTTATTCTTAATTCAAGAAGTGGTAAACTGCTTTTGTTATTATTCCTCTCAAAATACGAACAATATCTTCTATAAGGAATATTTTCCTCTTTATAGAAATATTTCCTTTTTAATACAGAGGAATTTTTCCTCTTTACACAGAGAAATTTTCCTCTCAATATAAGATTTCGTTCTTCTAGGCGCAAAAAAATTTTTCTCCTAAAAATTATGAGATATATTATGCACGAAAAGAAAGTAATTTTTTTTGTTGAAATGTATAAAAAGTAATATTTATAGAAGATAAATTATAAATTATTAAAAAATTCTAATAATTATTATTATAATTATAAAATGTGTATTTTAAATATAACGGGGGAAAGTCATGAAATATATAAAAGTGAAAAATCTCTTCATCTTACATAATTTCCAGCATCTTTAAAGTATCATCAAATGGTTGATGCTAGGCCTTGAGCTAGCCTCAAGCTCGTCAGAGGCAATCTATTTTACAAGAAACGGAAAAAGTAATAGTGAAAGTAATGCGAAGTATTTGCCAGGTAATTTCGCAGCTGCTTTAAGAGCATTAGCTACGCAAGACTTTTTTTTCAAGATCAAAATTCCATTCACCTTTTAAAACATTTATTCATGAATGAAAAAAAAATACCCTAATAAATTTCTCGCAATTTTTTTTAAAAAAAAAATTCTCTTCTCACATAACATACGTCACAATTAATTATCCTCTGATGAGGAACTAAAATAAAACGGTAAAAACAGAGATGCATTTATTTTTATCACTTATGGGAATACGCGAAGAGATCACTATCACTTTCGTACAAAATTATAAGGTGGAGATAATTTGCTCTTTGACTGGTACTTCCCTTGCGTGGCTCTTGATTATAATGGTTACCTGGGCTTTATCGTCACCGAAATACATATATATATATACACACGCACTACTCTCTATAATTGCTTGATGATAATTTCCAGTTATCACTTCACAGTCAGTGATTTCGCTTCCGTTATTTGATAACTTTTTCACTTTTAACTCCCAATTCAACTCACACTAAGTATTCTCTATTTCCGCAATTTTTCCACAAGCGACTGACCATGATTTATAAATTATTAATTAGTAAATAAATAATTTATTAATTACTATTTAATAAAAAGTAAATAATTAATTATTAAAAAAATATAATAAATTCTTAATCAATTAATGGTTAATAGTGATTAATAAATTATTATAATCAATTGTTAATAAGTGATTAAAGAATTATTAATTAATATTTAGACAATTCGTTAATTAATTAGTAATAATTAACAATTGGACAATTAATCAATTACTAATAATTTAAAATTGTTAACTTAATTGAATGAAATATTATTATAGTTGTATTTATTTGATAATTATTATATTAAAAAACGTAATGATAGTCACTGGCTAAATTTTTTATTACATTGCAAATGCGGTGAAACCTGTTTAAGTGAGACTGTAAGGGATGGTTTATTTCGTCTCACTAAACGAGGTTTGACTGCATAAGGCTTTGTAACATAAAATTGACCAAACATTCAATATATAATTATCTGGAAACGGAATTTGTGTCCCACTTTGGCAGGTTTTACTGTACATCAAAAAATATAGATATAATTTGATAAGAATTATATAATCCATTATCAAATAAATTTTTTGTGTTAAAATATCACAATCATTCCCTTATTACTTATTAAATAGGTTTAATTGTACCTTGAAATCTGAATCGTCTCACTTAATCAGGTTCGACTGTAACTAAAAGAAATAGCATTTTTTTTTTACAATCTACTTATATTGTTGAGAATACAAATCCATTTTGGTAGTTATAATAAAGAAATGAAATTAGATTGCCTTCTTAAAGATAATGCACTTAAATGTTAACTGTAAAAGGAGGCGCTAAGTGGTTTGGGTCGAAGAATAGGCTTAACTTGCGAAGTTGCCTTATAGTGAGAGACATAATACAAACATAGTTAAGTAATGACTACCGGGGTACATGAACGTGTCAATGGGTCGCAAAGTCGCAATATCTTCCAGTGAAGACGAAGAAGAAGAAGAAGAAGAAAAGAAAGAAGAAGTATAAGTAAAGAGAAAAAGAAGAAAAGTGGGACTTTGTAACTGTTACGTTACTTTTGGCACTAGGCAATCGGTATCAAGGTCAACTGGCCTCGGGGATATGTCACACGTGTTCATAATTCCAGTAAACAGGATTATAAATCTTCCTGTGAGTTTATATCTTTTTTTTTTTTTTTTTTTTTTTTGATACAACGTTCAACAACGTGTTCCCTTATCTCTTCGATATTTACAGTTTTATCAATAAATTTCTGTTTCTATATACATATTATACTACATCGATTTATAGTTTTCGTTTTCCCTTGTTATTTTACTTGTTTGTTAATATTATTATTGTTAATTTACGTTCTCGGATTTCTCATTTATTTTACAATTTTTGTTTCCAATTTTTGAAAATATTTTTCAATTTTGTTTTTATTTATTAGTTTTATTAAAAAAAGAGGTTTGTTTTTTTTATTTGTTATTTAAAAATAGTTTTTAAAAAAAATTTTTTTTTGAAATATATATATTCAACTTTAGACAATGAATGAAAAAAATGAATAGAGAGAGAGGGGGGAATTTAAAGTTGGTCACGAGTACCTGGAGGTGCTACTCGAAAGATACATGGGATAAGAGGGTCTTTTGTGAATAATTACATGACATGTGAATGGAATACTCGGATCTGACCAACAAAAGACATATGATTTCAGTGAGTTGTTCCATCAGTTAGAAATGCTGTTTGCTATGGCATTATAATATACATATATATATTTATATGTATATACAGAATATTTATTTACTATTCAGTAAATTCCTTCTCTTGTTATATGAAAAATTTTCGTATAAATATAATCACATTATTTTATCTAATAATTTTTTGCTACATACAATCCCATTGTTTTCTACATAAAATAATTTTTTGCCATTTATCTCAAAAAAAAAAAAACGAAAATAATTGAGAGAAAAATAATAATTATTTGATACAAATAAATATTTATTTAACAATAGTAAAGTAGATTATTTAAATGAAATAAATTTTTTTAATATTATGGAACATCATATAAAGAATGAAGTCCGTTTTCATACGAATTGTCTATAATTTCTGGAAAAATAAAATAAAGTAGTCTAGATAAGAGTGACACACACATTGAATCCTGATTAGGAAAAGATTGCTTTGCGACGATCAACAGGATGCGTCTGAAATAGTTGGTTCTCGATTCTTGGTGAAGCAGAGCGAGTATTCGAGTTTGAAAAAGAGCGGAACCCGGGTCTTTATATGTCCTTACAAAGTGTGTGCCCCGTTGTATAGAAAAGTAAACGTATTAACAAAAAGGGGGATAGAGAGGGGGAGGGGGGGGAGAGAACAAATGTGGATGGGCCGGATTGGAACGTTCACCATTTGAAGACATCGTTGGTCCAATCCCGTCGCCCTTAGCTCTGGGTCAGAGCACTGGGTAACGGCATTGCTTGTATATATATTTATATACTATATGTACGCGAACTCAGTGATATCTGGGTTATAATGTAGTAATTACTGCCTACCCTTCAAGCTTCATCATTCAAGGAGTCAAATGGGTGGGGGGGAGGAACTTACTTATCCGTTTACACTTCTGGGGGGTCTTCCATTATTTTCCCATCGGAATCTACTTTGTAATTTAAAAATTTGCCCCAACGCATTTTTTTTATTTGCTTTTTATTTATATTTATATTTTTACACTAATTTAAAAGTATCAAATTGATACTGAAAACGGTTGCTATTTTACCGGTAACTATGTTACTGGTTACTATGGTACAAGTTACTATGGTACCAGTTAATTTGGTACCATTTAGTTTCTATGGTACCAGTTAATATGGTACCATTTAGTTTCTGTGGTACAAGTTAATTTGGTACCATTTAGTTACTGTGGTGCCAGTTACTTTCGTAGCATTTAGTTTCTATGGTACCAGTTACTTTGGTACCATTTAGTTTCTATGGTACCAGTTACTTTAGTTCCAGTAACTTTGGTACTAGTTACTTTGATACCATTTAGTTTCTATGGTACCAGTTACTATGGTACCAGTTAAATTGGTACCATTTAATTTCTATGGAACCAGTTACTTTAGTATCAGTAACTTTGGTACCAGTTACTTTGGTACCAGTTACTTTGGTACCAGTTACTTTGGTACCAGTTACTTTGGTACCATTTAGTTTCTATGGTACCAGTTACTATGGTACCAGTTACTTTGGTATTAGTTACTTTGGTACCATTTAGTTTCTATGGAACCAGTTACTTTAGTACCAGTAACTTTGGTACCAGTTACTTTGGTACCATTTAGTTTCTATGGTACCAGTTACTATGGTACCAGTTAATTTGGTACCAGTTACTTTAGTACCAGTAACTTTGGTACTAGTTACTTTGGTACCATTTAGTTTCTATGGTACCAGTTACTATGGTACCAGTTACTTTGGTATTAGTTACTTTGGTACCATTTAGTTTCTATGGAACCAGTTACTTTAGTACCAGTAACTTTGGTACCAGTTACTTTGGTACCATTTAGTTTCTATGGTACCAGTTACTATGGTACCAGTTACTTTAGTACCAGTAACTTTGGTACTAGTTACTTTGGTACCATTTAGTTTCTATGGTACCAGTTACTATGGTACCAGTTACTTTGGTATTAGTTACTTTGGTACCATTTAGTTTCTATGGTACCAGTTAATTTGGTACCATTTAGTTTCTATGGAACCAGTTACTTTAGTACCAGTAACTTTGGTACAAGTTACTTTGGTACCAGTTACTTTGGTACCAGTTACTTTAGTACCATTTAGTTTCTATGGTACCAGCTACTATGGTACCAGTTACTTTGGTACCAGTTACTTGAGTACCATTTAGTTACTATGCTACCAGTTAGTGTGGTACCAGTTAATTTGGTAATCATAAACATAACCTATATAAATTTTCGCCTAATCAAGAGATAGATCTATCATAACCTATATAATTTTTCTCTTCTTAGGTCCCTTTATCTCTGCAGAAAGCGTCACACAAAAGAACACTTATTTTTAAAAAACATAATTACAAAATTTAAACCCATTTTTGATGGAATTTTTTCAGCTGGCTACCGGTGAAGAAGTCGAAGTTGTAGAGGCGATACCTGGTGAGGAGAATCGAAACGAAAATTCCGCTCTAAATCGTCAGGATACGGAGATAAGTGATTCGGATCAATTGGCATTGGAATCATTGAATGAAAAAGATGGTGGTTCGGCGGTACACTATAAATCAGGAGGTCATCGAGGTCATCCATTGCCACCGGCAAGAGGTGGAGGTGGTAATGGAGGAGGAGTAGGAGGAATGTCACATCTTGGAAGACCACATCACAATGTTGCCTATCATGGACCACCGCCTCCATTGCCATCAAAAGGACAACAACAACAACAACAACCGGAAGCAATGGATAAGGTCTATAATGTTGGACCACCTGCGGGCGGTGGTGGTGGTGGTGAAAATTGGCCGGCTTTGACGCCCGATATGCCTAAGATCATGTCATTAGATGTGAAATGTGAGAAGAATCTTATGAAGGTTTATCTTAGTTTTGATAAACCATTTTATGGTATAGTGTTCAGTAAAGGGCACTACAGTAATGTAAATTGTGTTCATTTACCTGCTGGACTTGGGAGATCGTCAGTTAACTTTGAGATCAGTATTCATGCCTGCGGCACTGCTGGTAACACGGAGAATGGACTCTATGGATACGGAGCGGAATCCGGATCTGGGACTTATTTCGAAAATATTATAGTCATACAGTATGATCCTCAGGTGAGAGGGTTTTGACCTTTAATTTTTCTTTTCTTGTTCTTTTGATTATTCTTCTTTGTTTTCTTTTAATCTTTTTTTTTTCTTTGATAACTGCAACTTAGTTTTTCTACTTGCACTAAAATGTAAAAAAAGAACCGTTTTGATTGGCTGACTAAAATTTTCTTTTACTACTTAAAAGTAAATTTTAATAAAAAATAGTTTTGTCTAACTTACAATGTTTTTTTGTACCACTAACAAATAATTTGTCTGAATAACATTGTCTTTTTTTTACTAATTTTTGCTACTTGGACAAGAATTTAACTTCTTTTGTCTTCCTGAAACTATTTTTTACTACTGAATTTACAATTTGACAAAATGTTTTGTCTGATTGACTGATGTCAAATTATAAAAGTCCTGTCCCGTCTGACTGAAACTGTCTTTACCTACTGATATTTAAATCGAATAAATATATATCGTTTGGTCTAAATGAGACTATTATGAACTACTGATAACAAAATCAGATGAATTTGTAAGTCTTGTTTAGTTAAAACTGAATTTTTAAATGTCTGACTGAAACTTACCTTTTCTACTTACAATTAGTTAATTAAAGTTTCGTTGAATAAAATCTGTTTCTTTTGCTACCGAATTCAAAGAAGTTGAAAAACTTCTTTTAATATAAAATTTTATTTTACCTTTTGGAATAAAAATAGAAAATTTTTAACTGTCTGACCATAAATTGAATTTACTACTTATAAAAAAATTGCTTCATTTTGAAAAAAGTTTATTGTCTGACTAAAAGCGTTTTTTTAGTACTTATTACTTTTTTACTACTGAAATGATAAAAAAAACCGTAAGAGAATGTCTGAATGAAACTGTCTTTTTCTACTAATTTATAATTACTGTATTAAAAAATTAATTTTAATACAAATTTCCAGAGTACTAATGAAATTTTTTTTTCTCTACTAATAATGGAATAATTTCTTTCTCTCTAAAATTATCCCTTATTACATTACGGATAGAAAAAAATATGTCTGACTAAAAACTGCTTTACTACTTTTGGTGAAAATGTGCCCTCAAGAAAAATTTGTCAGACTAAAAATGGCTTTTACTACTTCTAAAAAAATTAGAAACAGTTGTGTCTGACTAAAAATGTTTTGGTTAATTTACATAAAGTTTCGTCTGACTAAAAACTGACTTGTATCACTGATAAAATATCTAAATTTTAATTTTTGAAAAACACCTTCTTTCGCATTTAAATTTTTTAAAAAAATTGAATTAAAAATAAAATCATTGATTTAGATGTGCAAAAATTGTTTCATAAAACTAAATGAAAAAAAATTGAAAAATTAAAAAGCAGAAAATTTAAATTACATTACAGGTGCAAGAAGTATGGGATCAGGCACGAAAATTACGTTGCACTTGGCATGATCTTTATGAAAAATCCGTTACCTTCAGACCATTCCCAGTTGATATGTTAGACGTTGTACGCGCTGATTTTGCCGGCGACAATGTTGGATGCTGGATGCAGATACAAGTTGGCAAAGGTCCATGGGCATCGGAAGTCTCGGGTCTTGTGAAAATTGGCCAAACAATGACAATGGTATTGGCAATAAAGGATGATGATTCTAAATTTGATATGCTCGTACGCAATTGTATGGCACACGATGGTAAACGTGCGCCAATACAACTTGTTGATCAAAGAGGTTGCATTACAAGACCAAAATTAATGTCACGTTTTACAAAAATTAAAAATTTCGGCGCCAGTGCATCAGTATTGTCTTATGCACATTTTCAAGCATTCAAATTTCCCGATTCAATGGAAGTACATTTTCAATGTACAATTCAAATTTGCCGCTATCATTGTCCTGATCAGTGTGCTGATTCCACTTCATTGCTTGATTCACAAGCTGGATTGCTTGAGAATCATCAAGTTGGACATGGACGACCTGATTCTGGTTATGGACCACCATTGCCACTCGAAGCTTATCTTCAGGTTAGATACTGGAAAATTTAAAAAATTGTAACATTATTAATTTGAATTTGGAAAATTGTTTTTGAATTTGTATCTTTTTTTTGTTGTTCTTCCAGGCTGCTGTAGATCGACCTCGTGATGAGAGAAGAAGAAAATCTCGTGAGATTGTTTTACAATCGCCTGAGAAGACAGTGGGTGTTAATCGAATCATAAGAGTTGTGTCGACGGGCGATTTGACATTTGCTATTGATGATACGAATAATAGTGAACCAACAAGTGCAACAATGGTGTTTCCAATTAAGGATCCAATTCCGAGTTCAAGTATGATTTGTATGACAACACCTGGATTTGCAGTGACATTGGTTGTACTTTTGGCTGTTTTATTAACATCATGCATTCTCTCGACCTATCTTTGCATTCGTCTTCGACCTTTAAGCAAAGATAAGAAAAATATTCCAATTTCCACATTCAGCAATCAAAATTCAAAGAAACCAATAAAGGCTGCGTGTTTTTATTCTTAGGCAAGTTGGGGAAATTTTTTTTTTTATTTTAATACTTGGGGTTATTCATAATTATTCCAATTAAAAATTAATTATTTCTATTATTAATTAATTATATCGATTAATAACTAATTATTTGGATTAATAATGAATTATTTGGACATTGAATTTTTTTCTTAATAAAAAATAAAAATTTTTTTTATTACAGACTCAAGTGACATTGTTCGATGGGATTTAAATGAATCCGCATGTGTTCAATTATGCCAGTGCCGGACAAAATAAAAATTGTCCTGGGAACAAAGTATGTGAGGAAAAATTCTTGAATAAAATCAAAAAAAAAATTCAAGAGATTTTCGACGATTTATATACAAAATAAATAAAATGAAGGTCGTGACAATGGAACAGGGTAATTTTTTTGCAAAAGCAAAAACCCATATTTACCAATAGATACTGAACTGCTGTTATATTGGTTATTAACTATTTCAAATTGGTGAAAGCCAATTTTACAATGTAACATATAAAAAACCACGTTTTGTATACTGGGAAAATGTCTGATTTAGTCTCTAGTTATTTAAATATTATACTTTTTTTATTAATTCGTCATTATTTTAATAAATTATCCAAGTCTAAAGTAAAAGAGGAAGTAATAAGCCAGAAAATAATTATTTTATATATTTCTTCATTATTTTCAAATTTTGCATTTTTTAGTAAAAAAAATTTTTAATACAATCCTTATACTTTGGAATTTTTAATTAAAACCAATTTTGGTATAGAAAATATTTTCAAAATTTTCATATTTATAAAAAAAATTTTGTGCTTAAATTAACAGCAAAATATTAAAATTTAATTTAAAGTCAAATTTTTTTTTTCATTTTTAATAAAATGGCAATTTCCTCTTTCGTCAGGAATATTTTTCACTTTATTGTTAATTTATTGATTAATTGTAAAAAAAAAACATTACCTCCCGTCGATTGTTATTGGCATTAAAACTTTTTTTTTTTAAGGGAACAAAAAATGAGCTTTCATAAAGACTTTTAAATAGAAATTTTGGTTAATATTTAAGATCCGTCTGAGACGGTTAATTATATATACAAAAATTAAAGTAATTTATTTGTATAGGCATTTAGTATCACTATTTATTTATAATCGATGATGATGATATTTATTCGGGTAATTGTTCTCTTATTAATTTGTATAGATTCTGCGAATCTAATATATTGATAAAATTTGAATAATTTTAATTATTTATAAATATATATATAAACGTACAATATTTGTAAGTGCTGCTAATCAAATAATTATTTTTTTTCAATTTTCCGTTAATAATTTATTTAATTTTTTACTAGTTGGCTAGCTTATAATATGTGAAAACAAATTTTCACTATTTTATTTGCGTTAAAATGTGTTATTTTCATATTTAAATAAATTTCAATATTCATTAAATATTTCAAATATAGCTGACAAGTATTTTTTTTTAAATTCTCTTTTCATTTTGAAAATTTTTTGATTTTTTAGTTAAATATTTTCAAATTTTTTTTTAATTTTTGATTTATTTTTCCATACATTAACTTTTTGAAAATAAAAAATTGCTTTAAAATGTTTTCTTTTTGCAATGTACTATAAACTTATTTATTAATTAAACATTTGCGTGCCAAAGTTTACAGAATGTTATTGCGTTCGCATTTTTAAAAGCTTTTATGGATTTTTTACATTTTAGAAAAAAAAATTCAGTTTACAATTAATTTTTTTTGTCAATTTTAAATTAATTATATTGCCCTTTTGCTCAATTAAAACTGAAATCTGTGATAAAAGATATAAAGGACATTTTTTAACATTATCACTTTTTTATAAATTATAATTTATTGTAATTTTTTTCTGGTACTCGATTAAAAGCTTTTAAAAAAATGCGCTTAATAATTTCCATTTTTTTTTTAATAATTATAATTTTACAACACATAATATTAAATGTATTATTCTTAATCTCATTGTCTTACCTCTATCGGTTTTTACTACTGAAATGTTTCATCTATATAAAAAAAAATGAGATTAATACAATTTTAGGGCTGCGAATTTCTCTATTTTGTAATTTACAAATTTAGTGTAATATTATATTTATTGTAATTTATACTATAATTTATTCTATTTATTGTAATGATAATTAATTAAAAGTCTGTGTATAAAGTCTTAAGTATAAATAAACAATTTTCACATACCTGATTGATTTACTTTTTTCTTATAATTTTGTATATCATCTGAAAAAATATAATTTATCTATTTAAAAAATTAAAAAAAGCAATTGATAGAAAAAAATATTATTTATATTCTAATTGAAAAATATAAAACGCTGAATTTTATTTATTTCTAAAAACTAAATTAACAATTCCACGTATACAAAGTTTTGTTAATATAATTATTAATTAAAAATAAAATTATTAATTTTATAAATTTATTTCTGACAATATTTTTTAATATATTTTAAATATGAAAAAAAATATATGCATCCAACAATATTCGTATAGTAATGTGTGTGGATGAAAAAAAATTACTATTTATATAAATTCAAGAATGTATATTCAAAACGAAACAGTTTAAACAAAATCTTAAATGCAAACCTATTTTTAATGGCATTATATATATATAATATTATGTAATTTATCATATTTACATGTTTGATATATTCCTTAAAAATATAACATTAACTTATAACAATAAAAAAAATTATAATAATTAGATCAATTTTTGATCTTACAAAAAATTATCAAATATCCTTATTATTTATATTATAAATTCTCTTTTGATATATATTTGCTATATATTTTGTGCATATGAAAAAATTAAGTATATTTCTGTAAATTAATAAGTTTTATTACATAATTTAAATATTTAAATTTTGTAATTAAAACATATTTTGATTTTTGATTTTGGAATTATTAAAATTTATTTTTTTGGGAAAAAAAAGAAAAATTGAGGCAGGCACAGATGAGTAGCACTGTTGAGTATATCTTAATTATAAATTAATATCCTAATAAAAATATCCAATACCGATGGGTTAAATATTTTAATATCTTAAATATAAAATCTCTTTAAAAACTAACAAGTCTTAATAATGTACGTGTACTTTTTGAGCAGAATATATATATATATAAATTAAATACATTTTGATATAATGATTATCAAAATTTGCTATACAATAAATTATAGATATAATAATAATAATAATAATTTGGCGACATGATTTCATTATGAAAATTTTTACAAATAAAACATTAATATATAAATTCTAAAAGTGCAATTTACTATTAAATATTTATTATATTAAAATTATTTATTCAAAATGAATAGTAATAAATTGCACTCCTTGTCGTGAATATATGAATATGACAAAATTTTCATTGTCCATCCTTTTGTAGTCGCCAAAAATATATATGACAATTTATTGCTAATTAAATAAAATTTGGGTTTATTTGATTATTGTAATGTATTTAATATTACAGTACTCAAGTTTATTGTTTTTAATATTATAAAGAGTACTTTAATATTTAATATCAGCTTATTAAATAAAGTTTTTAAAATTATTACATGCGTATATAAAACATATATATATAAAAAATAGATTCTATTATAAAAAAGGAAGACAAAATAATATTAAGTAGAAGAGAGACATTTTGTTTATTAAATAAATTGTGAGTATTAGGAATTTTTTTTTTTGGTCCCTCGTTTTATTTTCCTTTATATAATATATAGAATTGCTTTATATTCGCGAAATTAAATCAGATATTATTGATATACATCGAAAATTTAGTTTGCTATTAACTGTTTGTAAATGGAAAAAGATAAATTAATTATTTTTTATTGGAAGTAAAAATAAATCAATGTTTTCTCTTTTTTTCGTTGTAAAATTTTTTTAAATACTGTGGTTACTATATATAATCTTTTCTACATTTTATCGTTATATTTTACCATAAAAATTATTTTAAACACAATGATTATTAAAACAAATATTAGAGTAACGATACATTATCGAAATAATGGCTGACAAAATCGTAAAATTTGGAAAATTAATATAAATAAAATTATAATACATCGATGGAAACACATGTGTAAAATTGTTATTTATTAATATATTTATTAATTGCACATTATCGTAAAAAAAGGGGAAACTTTTATTTGGATAATCCTTTTTATTGTGTTATTATTTTTTTTATTGAATATTCAATAAAAAATAAAAATAAATTTTAAAATTTTTTTAATAGAAACCGACTTTTGATATAAAAATTATAAGTACTTGGAAGTCTGACTGTAAATTATTTTTACTACTGATAATAAAATTGTCTGACTAAAACTGACTTGAACTACTGATATCAGAATAAGAATTTGAAATGTGTGATTAAAACAACTTTTATAATTATGTGTCTGACTAAAACTGTTTTTACTACTTAATTAAAAAGTACACTATAAACCTATTTGTCTGATTGAAAATGTCTTCTACTACTGATAAAAAAACTGAAATGATTTTTTTCTATTAATTCTAAACTGGAAAATTTTAATTCAGTTTGTCTGACTAAAATTGACATTTACTACTTTGAAAAATTAATTAGAACCGTTTTTGTCTGACCTAACTCGTCTTTTACTACTGCTATAGAAAATTATTGTTTGACTGACTAAAACTTACTTTAACTACTTGTACAAAAATATTTAATTTGAATCACTTTTAATAGAATTAAAATTTCATGAATTTTTACTGTCTGACTAAAATTTACTTCTACTACTTGCATTTAAAATGTTTTTTGTATTGAAAAAATCTACTAGTGTAAGTAAATTTGTTTTATTAGTACTTTTACAATAATTATAAAATATATCGTTTTGTCTGACTGAAATTATCCTTCTCTACTAATTGTGTAATTGCAAAATAATTAAATAGTTTGTCTGACTAAAGGTGGATTTTTCTACTTAAAAACGGAAAAAACGGTTTTGTTTGACCAAAGTCCTTATTACTACTGAATTATTGAGAAATCGGAAAAGTTTTGTCTGGACTAAAATTGACTTTCACTACTTAAAAACAATAAAAAGCGAATAAAAACAATTTTGTCTGACCAATCTCGTATATTACTACTGAAATTTTTGGAATTCGGCAAAATATTGTCCGACTAAAAATAGCTTTTACTACTTATAAAAACTAAAAAAAAGAATAAAAACAGTTTTGTCTGACCAATGTCGTACATTACTACTGAATATTTTGAAATTCGGAAAAATATTGTCTGACTAAAACTGACTGTTGTTACTTGTAAAAACGGAAAAAGAGAATGAAACCGTTTGTCTGACCAAAGTCGTATATTACTACTGAAATTTTTGGAATTCGGAAATCTATTGACTGACTAATGCTGATTTTTGCTACTCATAGACAATTAAAGAAGAATAAAAATAATTTTGTCTGCCTAAAGTCGTATATTACTACTGAAAGTTTAGGAATTCGAAAAAATTTTGTCCGACTAAAGATGTCTTTTACTACTTATAAAAAATAAAAAAAAAGTATAAAAACAGTTTTGTCTGACCAATGTCATACATTACTACTGAAATTTCTAGAATACGGAAATGCGTTGTCTGACTAAATCCACCTTTTACTACTTATAAAAAGTAAAAAAAACTGATTTGAGTGAATTTTGTCGTTTACAGATTATAAAAAACTAAATAAAAATAATTATTGTGTTTATTAGTTTTCTTATATGTAAACTTCGTTTCAAGGGAAAAAATCAGAATTTGTTTCGTTAAAAAAAATCCATTATAAAAATGAATTATGTTTCTCAAACAATTGAAAAAATCAGTAATTCTTTTTCTGATTCAACAGTTTTATATAGCAAACAGTTTTCGAAGTATATGATTTACTATATACTTATATATATATACTCGCGTAGAAATTCTATATAGAGAAAATGGGTTATACATATATACGCACTTACGGTACTTTGTACAGTATATTGCACATTGTCTTTGACGGCATTCGCGCTTGTTTTTTTTTTGTTTTTTTTTTATTAATTTTTTTCTCCCTTTTAAAATCATTGGATCGAATATATATATATATTGTAAATAAATATAATGTATTTTTCATTCAACCTTGTTCAACCGGGTTGGCCCCTGGTTTTTGTGATTGTAATCGATCAGAGCAACGTACTCTCAACAATCCATAAGACAACCATCCATTGCTCGTCTCATTTTGTTGCTGTTGTTGTTGCTGTTGATGATGATGATGATGAAGATGATGATGATTCTTTTGATTTTCCCTCATCATTTCACGTTGAACTTGTAATCGATGTAACATTGCACCAGCGACAAGCGCCGATATTACTGCTGACAATGCAACAATAACAAAAAGTGCACTGAAACCCGGTACCGGAAGGCAAATTCCATAAACAACTTCTTCGCGTATTCTTCCTTGAAATACAGTGACAGCCTCGGCGTGTGTATCGGGACTGAAGGCAAGGTCAGCCTCGGATATGACCTCATAGATGCCACTCACTCCAACGTCAGCACTTCGCACCTTACGATCGGACACAATCACGGAACGTTTTCGACGAATTGGATTCTCCGTTGATTGCTGTTGATGATGATGATTATGATGATGATGATGAATTATTCTTTCACCCCTTCTTGATTCTGGATTGATGATTTTTTTCTCTGACGAATTTTCTTTTGAATTTTTCTCTGCGTCAGCATCATCATCATCCTGTGGTGTGTCCTCTTCTTCGTCGAGGTTACGAGGACCATGTGGAAATCGTTCCTCGCCATCGTATCGCGTCACTCGAGCAGGTTCCTGATTTGCAGACAAAAAAATTATTTTAGCCATTTTTTTAACTAAAACTTTCGTAGAAAAATAACTAAATTTTTTAATAATATTTCACTAAAATATTTTTAGTAACTTTTACTAAAATTTAGTGAAAATTTTTAGTAATTTGAATTAGTAAAGGAATTCTCAGAATATTTTAAATGTGTAACAAATTATAATAATTTAATATATTTATAATGAATTTATCATGAATTATTTAATAAAATAATTGGTCATCAAATATTTATACTTTTAATTATCTTCAAATATTTATTATCTAAATTTGAATTAGCAATTTTTTCATTCTATACATATAATTATCATAACAAACCAAGATAAAATTTTATGATTTTGCAATTTATTCCTTTAAAATTCAATTATCCTTATACGCTAATTTAATATTTCGGATTTCCATTTTGATTTGATTACTTTAATTTTCTGTCTCTCTCTCTCTCTCTTTCTGTTCATCCCAAAAGTTGTTTTAAACGTTTTTGTCAGTTTGAACGTAAATTTTATACAAATGCAAATTTAATAAAGTTTACGTCATAAATAAATAAATTTAAGGAGAAAAAAAATTGACGAAAAGAATAAATTAAAAAAAAAAAAATACATTTTGGAAAACAGTCGAAAAAAATATTTGATAAAAGAAATTTTTTTAAAAAACTTTTTGTAAAGTTTTGCAACATAAATTTTTGTTTTTATATTTCAGTTTCAATAATAATTAGCCACAAGGAGTTATTAATTAATTTATGATCATGATAAACAAATAAAATGTCAGAACGATGAAACAAGTTATATGTGTGTATATAATTAATTAGCAATTATAGCTGGTTGAACTACAACTCTAGATTGTAGATTACACTTGAGTGAAAAGGATATATGAAATATAATGACAACAAAAAATCAAAATCAAGTAGAGAAATAAAAATTTTTGAAAATCATCTTTAAGAAAATATAATTTTGATTTTTAATTCTAAAAGAAAGGAAAACAATTTTTTTTTTTTTTTGATATCGAAGAAAAAAATATTATTACCAAAATAGGAGGTAAATGCTGTGGATCCATGGATGTTGTACCGGAATTTGTTTCGCTACCATCGGACATTGAAACACGATTGCTCATCATTTGTGCTTGTGCTTTAGGTGCTGATTTTTCAACACCAAGAAACTGGCCACCAACTGAGGTCATTGCGTCATTATTATTATTATTTTGAATAATGTCATCGTACATTAATCCATCCTCCTCGTGACTTGCACTTGTTGCCGTAGTTGTTGTTTGCGAATATAATGGTCTTACATTAACGTCTTTTCTTTCTTGAATTCTGTCCGCAGAATCACTCAATTGACAATGATCCAAACATCCATGTCGACATATTTCCACCTTTCAATTAAAAAAAAAATCAGGAAACAATTAAAATACAATTAAATAATAAAAAATTAAAAAAACAAATTAAATACCAAAAAAACTTAAAGTACAATAAAAAACCAAAAATAAAAAAAATTAAAGTATAATTAAATAGTAAGAAAAATAAAAAAAATATTTTTTATATTAGAATTTTTTATAGCAGGATGTTTATTTTGTTTAAACAAAATTTTTTGTTTTATTATTTTTTCTTTGAATTGAAAAATTTATATTTTCTTGACTATACGTGCATCTAAATGTTAAACATGTGAATTCATTTTCCAGACCACAGGTTTAACTCGTTAGTTCACGCGACACACCTGGAGAACGCAAATTACTTTATCTCTTTGGAAGATAAGAGACTTCAACATATATATGTATGCAAAAGTTAAACGCTGACTGCAGTATATGGAATATGTGAGCCAGATGTCTCGAGTCTATCTTCCTGCTTCATCGAAAAATAAAGGATTACATTTTTTTTTCATCCTTTTCTCGAATTTTTCCCTTTTTTTTATCCTCAAAAGAATTCATTCATTTATAGTTTGAAATTATTTTCAAATTTTTAATAATAATATTTTTATTTATCAATTTAGCAAAGTTAAAAATGAAAAAAAAATAATTATTTTTTAATTAAAAATATTCACCTTGCATTTGATATGAACACTGAGTGCATCAGGAAATTTGAAGGCATGAAAGAAAGCGTACGTTATGACAGTTGCACGATCGTCTGAACCTCGTGCTTTCAAAAAACGACTAATCATTTTTGGCCTAAGTACACAGCCAAATTCATCGCTCAGCTGAATTGTATGACCACCGCCATCGGAAGCAACACATGATTTTACTCGCATGTCAAATTCACCTTGAAAATTGAGAGAAGACAAAAAAAAATGGAAAAATTATTAGAATGTTTGTTCTTAAAACAATTCACGAGAACGCCAAGTACCTTGGACTTTGATGGCTCGCTCGTTACCTCGGTAATCATTTATAGCGACGACAAGAGTCAATGTTGAACCCAATGGAACAATTCCCGACACTGGCGGTGCCCATGGTCCTTTTCCATGTTGAATTTCCATCCAGCAGTCCACATTGTCTCCTGAGAAAATTAATAATTATTTTTTTTCACATCAAAAATCAATAAAAAATATTCAAAATTAATAGTTTTTTTGTTAGGATTTCGTGGCTTAGGCCCGAAAGCCTTATAGTTTGGGTTTGACGTCTGTCCGGCTGTTCGTCCGTCCGTCCGTCGTACACTTGTATGGTTATCATAGAAACCGTTACCATAGCAACAGGTTCCAAAGCAACCTGTACAATAGTAACCGCTACCATAGTAACCAGTACCATAATAACTAAATGGCACCAAATTAACTGGTACCAAAGTAACTAGTACCACACTAACTGGTAGGATAGTAACTAAATGGTTTCAAAAGTAACTGGTAGCATAATAACTAAACGATACCAAAGTAACTGGCAGCATAGTAACTAAATGGTACTAAATTAACTGTTACCAAAGTAACTGGCACCAAAGTAACTGGTAGCATAGTAACTAAATGGTACCAAATTAACTGTTACCAAAGTAACTGGTACCAAAGTAACTGGTAGCATAGTAACTAAATGGTACCAAAGTAACTGGTACCAAAGTAACTTGTACCAAAGTAACTAGTACCATAGAAACTAAATGGTACCAAAGTAACTGGTACCATAGAGACTAAATGCTACCAAAGTAACTGGTAACAAAGTGAGTGGTACCACACTAACTGGTACCAAAGTAACTTGTACCAAAGTAACTAGTACCATAGAAACTAAATGGTACCAAAGTAACTGGTACCATAGAGACTAAATGCTACCAAAGTAACTGGTAACAAAGTAAGTGGTATCACACTAACTGGTACCATAGTAACTGGTACCATAGTATCTGGTACCAAAGTAACTGGTACCAAATTAACTGGTACCAAATTAACTAATACCAAATTAACTGGTACCAAATTAACTGGTACCATAGTAACTGGTACCATAGAAACTAAATGGTACCAAAGTAACTGGTACCAAAGTTACTGGTACTAAAGTAACTGGTACCAAATTAACTGGTACCATAGTAACTGGTCCCATAGAAACTAAATGGTACCAAAGTAACTGATACCAAAATAACTGGTACCATAGTAACTGGTACCATAGAAACTAAATGGTACCAAAGTAACTGGTACCAAAGTTACTGGTACCAAAGTTACTGCTACTAAAGTAACTGGTTCCATAGAAACTAAATGGTACCAAAGTAACTGATACCAAAATAACTGGTACCATAGTAACTGGTACCATAGAAACTAAATGGTACCAAAGTAACTGGTACCAAAGTTACTGGTACCAAAGTTACTGCTACTAAAGTAACTGGTTCCATAGAAACTAAATGGTACCAAAGTAACTGATACCAAAATAACTGGTACCATAGTAACTGGTACCATAGAAACTAAATAGTACCAAAGTAACTGGTACCAAAGTAACCGGTACCATAGCAACCGTTACTGTGGTAGTATTTATAATTATTTAGCATTAATTTTTGGCACCGTTCATAAATTTTGCACAGAAAATTCTTGAATATTTTTAAATAATAAAAAATTTAAATAATTAAAATTATCAAAAAAAGAAATAAAATGTATTAAAAAATATTTTCAAAAAAAAAAAAAAAAAAAATTTTTGCTTATATAGATGCAAAACAAAAAAAAGACCACTACAAAGAGAAATGTAAGTATAGTATGACCGCAAAAATTCTTTTATTCTTCTTTTTGCAAATGAGCCAGAAAACTGGAAGCTGTAATTTATCGCATAAATGGAAATGAAATGGCGTAACCACGGCTCTCTTTTTTTGCGGTTGGCTATAGTTTCTCGAGTTCAGATGGTCAAGTTTTTCCCTACCTCACCCAGAGGTATATATACGGGTGGAGTATTCTTTGCATTAAATGGACCTTGTGGTCAAGCACTGTGGTATTTGCGCTTTGTTGCGATTTTATTTTTTTCTTTCTTTTACGTCAAAAAAAAAAAAACTAACCATGGGTAATAATATAATTTATTCTACTTTAAATTGACACAAATTGTCACATAATTGATATTTGTTTTTTTTTTAAATTTAATTTTCTTATTATTTAAAATGCATTTTTTGAAAAATTTTAAAAATTTTCTAAATATAATTTTTTTTAATATAAAAAAAAATTTAAAATACGCAAAAGAAATTGATTTCAATAATTTTTCATTATTTGTAAAAGTGGGAAAAGAATAATAATAAAAAAAAATTGTACCTCGAAAATCTAGTTGAATGACATCGAGATCAGCAATAACCATTGGTGGTTTCGAAGCTGTTTTTTCATAATCGTTGAACCATTCACATCGTAGCCTTTTTGCTTCGTCCCAAACCTCAAGTAGATCTTTATCGTATTGAACTACTACAGTATTCTCGTAAAATTGTCCATGCATATCCGGTTTCGTACCACACCTGTGGCCCAAAAAAAGGAAAAAAAATTCGTTAATAAATTGTTTTCTTAAGATTTTCATTAAAAAAAAGTCCTTCAAAAAAAAATTCAAAATTAATAAATAAATAATAAATTAAGATAAATAAATACTTTTATAATTTTCCTAAATTATTTACAATGAAACAAATTACATAACAAAAAAAAAATGTTTTCTGTTAGAATTTCCTTATAGATAAATTATGCGAGATTGAAAAATCAATACCAAGAATTTCTTCACTAATGAATAATAATAAATTAATTCAATTAGTGCATTACATAGATTTTTAGATGTTAAATTTTTTTTGAAAAGAAAAAAAAATGTAACTTGCAATAATTTCTCGTTAAAATTGGAAATAAATAAATTAACTGGACATGGCATAAAAAAAATAAATGTAAGTAAAGTTTCTTAAGTGAAATTAGGAATTTCATGCGATGATGTTGATTAGAGATCAATATTAATAGATATATATATATGTATAGCATTGAATAGCTTATCAGTTAAAGGCTGATTGGATGCTGTGCGCGCAAGGTATTGAGAGTTAGTGTGTTCAACATAGACCTCTAATTCAATGGATACGATATAGTGATGACAGAGATTAGAGTCTGTACGATGTATCTAATGCTTAACTGCATAGATGTGGCGCTCGAGTAGATAATCAGAACTGTAACACACTTTCATTAATCGATGCAAGCGCTAAATGTTACGTGTAATGCACACGACCTTGATTGCAAATCTTGAGGAAAGATATTTACTTACATATATATATATATATATAGCAAAGGATAATATGAGAATTAATTTAATTAAATCAGAACAGTTTAATGAACCACGATAAACATCATTCATATACAGACTTGTTGATTTTAATTAAATTGATTTTGATTGCCCCAAATATTAATAATTTCATTTAATTGCAATTAATTATAATTAAAAAAGGTTTTTATTTTATTAAGTAAACTACCTTTCTTTTAATTTTTTTTGTGTGAATTTCAGTATAAGTAGTAAAAGAAAATTTTAGTCAGACATTGATTAGTAAAATTAATCTCAGGCTAAACCATTTAAATTAGTAGTAAAAGCTATCTTTAGTCACCCGCGTGAAAAACGAACTATGGGAAAAAGCTATCAAAAGCTGGCAAAAGATGGGAGAAGATTTTCGCCATTGTTTTTAAGTTTTATCCCATACTTCAAAGAATTGCAAAAAGCTCACAAACCATTGCTTATGAGCCTTTCCCATACTTTTTTTTAATATCATATAACATTGCTAAAATCTTGCCAAAGTATTGCAAAAATATGGGAATAAAATAAAGTCAATTTTTTCTAACGTACTTCTTATTTTTCTCATTTTTTTTCTGAAAATCATTGCAAAACAATGGGAAAAAGATTAAGAAAGAAAAAATTTATTTTTCTCATTTTTTCATCTTTTAAAATTAGATTTTTAAAGTATTGCTAAAACCTGGCAAAAATATACGAACAAAATTAATCAATTTTTCTCGTTATTTTAGCTTTAAAAATCTGATTTTTGAAGTATTGCAAAAATATGGGAATAAGATTTTGAAAGAAAAAATCAATTTTCCTCTATTTTTCAACTTTGAAAATTTGATTTTTAAAGTATTGCAAAAATATGGGAAAAAGATTTTGAAAGAAAAAATCAATTTTCCTCTATTTTTCAACTTTAAAAATTGGATTTTTAAAGTATTGCAAAAATATGGGAAAAAGATTTTGAAAGAAAAAATCAATTTTCCTCTATTTTTCAACTTTAAAAATTTGATTTTTAAAGTATTGCAAAAATATGGGAAAAAGATTTTGAAAGAAAAAATCAATTTTCCTCTATTTTTCAACTTTAAAAATTTGATTTTTAAAGTATTGCAAAAATATGGGAAAAAGATTGGTAGTGAAAAAATCAATTTTCCTTATTTTTTAAACTTTAAAACTTTGTTTTTTAAAGTATTGCGAAATCATTGGAAAAAGATTGGACGGAAAAAATCAATCTTTCTCGATTTTTCAGCTTTAAAATTTTGATTTTTAAAGTATTGCAAAAATATGGGAAAAAGATTTTGAAAGAAAAAATAAATTTCCTCTAATTTTCAACTTTAAAAATTTGATTTTTAAAGTATTGCAAAAATATGGGAAAAAGATTGGAAAGAAAAAATCAATTTTCCTCTAATTTACAATTTTAAAAATTTGATTTTTAAAGTATTTTCCTCTATTTTTCAATTTTAAAAATTTAAGTTTTAAAGTATTGCAAAAATATGGGAAAAAGATTTTGAAAGAAAAAATCAATTTTCCTCTATTTTTCAACTTTAAAAATTGGATTTTTAAAGTATTGCAAAAATATGGGAAAAAGATTTTGAAAGGAAAAATCAATTTTCCTCTATTTTTCAACTTTAAAAATTAAATTTTTAAAGTATTGCAAAAATATGGGAAAAAGATTTTGAAAGGAAAAATCAATTTTCCTCTATTTTTCAACTTTAAAAATTTGATTTTTAAAGTATTGCAAAAATATGGGAAAAAGATTTTGAAAGAAAAAATCAATTTTCCTCTATTTTTCAACTTTAAAAATTTGATTTTTAAAGTATTGCAAAAATATGGGAAAAAGATTTTGAAAGGAAAAATCAATTCTCCTCTAATTTTCAATTTTAAAAATTTGATTTTTAAAGTATTGCAAAAATATGGGAAAAAGATTTTGAAAGAAAAAATCAATTTTCCTCTATTTTTCAACTTTAATAATTTAATTTTTAAAGTATTGCAAAAATATGGGAAAAAGATTTTGAAAGGAAAAATCAATTTTCCTCTAATTTTCAATTTTAAAAATTTGATTTTTAAAGTATTTTCCTCTATTTTTCAATTTTAAAAATTTGAGTTTTAAAGTATTGCAAAAATATGGGAAAATTGATTTTTCCTTTCAAAATCTTTTTCCCATATTTTTGCAATACTTTAAAAATTTAATTTTTAAAGTTGAAAAATAGAGGAAAATTGATTTTTCCTTTCAAAATCTTTTTCCCATATTTTTGCAATACTTTAAAAATCCAATTTTTAAAGTTGAAAAATAGAGGAAAATTGATTTTTTCTTTCAAAATCTTTTTCCCATATTTTTGCAATACTTTAAAACTTAAATTTTTAAAATTGAAAAATAGAGGAAAATACTTTAAAAATCAAATTTTTAAAATTGTAAATTAGAGGAAAATTGATTTTTTCTTTCCAATCTTTTTCCCATATTTTTGCAATACTTTAAAAATCAAATTTTTAAAGTTGAAAATTAGAGGAAATTTATTTTTTCTTTCAAAATCTTTTTCCCATATTTTTGCAATACTTTAAAAATCAAAATTTTAAAGCTGAAAAATCGAGAAAGATTGATTTTTTCCGTCCAATCTTTTTCCAATGATTTCGCAATACTTTAAAAAACAAAGTTTTAAAGTTTAAAAAATAAGGAAAATTGATTTTTTCACTACCAATCTTTTTCCCATATTTTTGCAATACTTTAAAAATCAAATTTTTAAAGTTGAAAAATAGAGGAAAATTGATTTTTTCTTTCAAAATCTTTTTCCCATATTTTTGCAATACTTTAAAAATCAAATTTTTAAAGTTGAAAAATAGAGGAAAATTGATTTTTTCTTTCAAAATCTTTTTCCCATATTTTTGCAATACTTTAAAAATCAAATTTTCAAAGTTGAAAAATAGAGGAAAATTGATTTTTTCTTTCAAAATCTTATTCCCATATTTTTGCAATACTTCAAAAATCAGATTTTTAAAGCTAAAATAACGAGAAAAATTGATTAATTTTGTTCGTATATTTTTGCCAGGTTTTAGCAATACTTTAAAAATCTAATTTTTAAAGATGAAAAAATAAGAAAAATAAATTTTTTCTTTCTTAATCTTTTTCCCATTGTTTTGCAATGATTTTCAGAAAAAAAATGAGAAAAATAAGAAGTAAGTTAGAAAAAATTGACTTTATTTTATTCCCATATTTTTGCAATACTTTGGCAAGATTTTAGCAATGTTATATGATATTAAAAAAAAAGTATGGGAAAGGCTCATAAGCAATGGTTTGTGAGCTTTTTGCAATTCTTTGAAGTATGGGATAAAACTTAAAAACAATGGCGAAAATCTTCTCCCATCTTTTGCCAGCTTTTGATAGCTTTTTCCCATAGTTCGTTTTTCACGCGGGCAGACGAAAAATTTTCTTCAATAAACTGATATTAGGAAAAGAAAAAATTTTTTTCTCTACTTTGGTCCATTATAGCTCGGATGCTGTGGAATTATTAAAAAAATTTCTTAGATTTTTAGGAAAATTTTTCTTTTATTTATCTTTTTTTGAATTTTTTTTTTTGTATATAATTATATATTTTGAGAAATTAAAAATATTACCTTGCGTATGCTATTCGAAAAGAAAAGAATGTTTGTCCAGTTGAAGGTGGAACGTAAACACAACGTGGATCAGCGTGTTGGCCTTTTGAAGAAACAATACCCTCAAAGGGTTGAGAAAATGAAAGATGAACATCCATATGATCCTTTCCGCACATTACTTCAAGTGATTGTATCGCAGGCATTCCGTCTGGTCTTTCTAATGGCCAAATATCACTGTTGCTACTCACGTTTTTCAAGCCAATCACCTGCAAATTAATTAAATTCTCATTTTCAATTTCATTAAATTAATAATATTATTAATACAATTTTTTTATAGATTTTATGTTCCGGACCCCCTAAATTTTTTTTTAATTTCATTATTTTTGTTTAAAAACGAAAAAAAATGAGAATAAAATTTTTTTAGAGGTACCTAAAAATTACCAAGCATATTAATACTTTTATTATTATATTAATACACTAATAACAATAATAATATAACAGATAAGGATATAAATGTTTTTTTAAAAATACTGTGAAGAATATGAATGTTTTAAAATTTAAAAATAAAATTTGCTTGTTAAGGGTACATGTTTATAATATACAAAATAGGTGAAGTGAGATGTTATATAGTGGTCGTCGAATTATAATAAAATGCTCCAAGGCAAAATTGAGAGAGACTCCTGCGAGCCTAGGAGTAATGGTTGATTATTCCATGGAGTACATAAATTATAATTTACATACAGGAACTCACTGCACAGATTACATTCAGAAACATAAATCTATTCGACTTAAATTGTCCACTTTTGCGAGTATATCTTAATATCCATGGCAAACTCATATATAAATAGCTCATATCTTTAGTGCATACGCCAAATACATACAATGTATATATGTTACGATATCGACGTTGAAAAGAAAAAATATTTTTTCAATCTCAATTTTATTATTATTATTATTATAAATTATAGGCAAAAGTCAACTTTGATCAATTTTTACTATTTCTAGTATTTTTAATATTTCTAGTACTTTTAGTATTTCTAGTATTTTTAGTATTTCTAGTACTTTTAGTATTTCTAGTATTTTTAATATTTCTAGTACTTTTAGTATTTCTAGTAATTTTAGTATTTCTAGTACTTTTAGTATTTCTAGTATTTTTAGTATTTCTAGTACTTTTAGTATTTCTAGTACTTTTAGTATTTCTAGTATTTTTAATATTTCTAGTATTTTTAGTATTTCTAGTACTTTTAGTATTTCTAGTACTTTTAGTATTTCTAGTATTTTTAGTATTTTTAGTATTACCTATTTGTTATTTTTTTATTTCAAAATTGAAAACAATATATTTAAAAAAAGGAAATGAAATTTTCGCCAAACAATTTAAAAACAAATTTACCGCGAATAAAAAATGAATATAGTATAGAAGAGAGGAAAAGTCGGGAAACTTGATCTTATTCGAAATTTCAACAATGTTACAGGATCTGAATTTAAATTCACACAGTAGTGACACTGGAACGTGAGGGAACATTACAGATGGGATTCCCACTGTAGTGCCGCGCGTCCACTTCGAATACTAATTTCATACTATGACCCGTTATTACTATGCAATAAAAACTGAATTTTTTTTTTTTTTGATATTTTCAACTTTTATATAAAAAAATTCAAAAAGACAAAAATATTGTTTGTGAAAATTCAATTTTTTTGGGAAATTTAATTTTTTACCAATAATAATTTATCAGAATTATTTATTTTTTCCGCATTTATTAAAAATATTAAACAAAGGCAATACGGGGAAAATTCTTTGAAAGGAGAGGGAGCGCATTATGTTTGCGCTTGGAGAGCGAAGAAAAACCCGGGAGACTCATATGAGCAAGGGCTTATCTCTTTCTCTCTCTCTCTCTCTCTCTCTCTCTCTCTCTCTCTGCCCCTGTGTAATCATTTCTAATGAAATGTTGTCATTTAACAGTGCGATTGTATGAAAGAAGTCTGAAACTTGTTTTCACTTACGTGAAAAACGGCAACCGTTAATGCAGCGGTAAAGACGCCTCTCCCGTTACGAAGCAATGCGCGAGCATGGAATATATATATGTATATACATACACGAGAAACACCTTTTCTTCAATGATCACTGACACATGGATTTCTAACTTGACCTCACAATAACAAATAATTAATATTACATAAGTGCGCAATTCCCGCGCGCTTATAGTCGAAAATCGTCACGCTCACTGACCAATATATATATTTTATAATCGCTCCGCGTGACGCGAGAGGAAAACATTATTCAACTTATCTTGTATCTCATTTGTTTTGTATTTTATAATCATTTATAAGCGCCGTATTATTATTTTCATAATCAGTAATTTATTTAGCAGTGAGAAACTATTTTTCGAAAAATAAAATTAAAAGGTGGCAGCGGTGGGATTTATATAGAAATTTAAAAAACCTGCCCTACTGGAAAAATTAAAAATAATTAAAATAATGTAATTAATTAAATAAATAATTAAATAAATAATTAAAAATGAATTTGTCCAAAAATAAAATAAAAAGGTGGCAGCGGTGGGATTCGTAAATTCTAGTAGAAATTTAAGTCTCTCTTGGCCCTTTTGGAAAACGTAAAAGTATAATTAATTCATAATGAATTAAATATTAATTTTGTACCTCATTTGTTTAGTATTCTATCATTTATAAGCGCCGTATTATTATTTCCATAATCAGTAATTTATTTAGCAGTGAGAAACTATTTTTCGAAAAATAAAATTAAAAGGTGGCAGCGGTGGGATTCGTAAATTCTAATCTTTCTCATTCTTTTCTGGAAAAAGTAAATAATAAAAAATAATAATTAGTAAATTTAAGTATAAAAATAATAATGAAAAATTAAATTGAATTTTTTCGATTTGAAATCCCTAATTTCCAATGTTTGATATAATGGTAACGCGATATTTATAATAAAATATAAGAAACGAATCCTGATGAGATTCCGGTGCGAATCAAATTAGTCGACATGAGCTTTGAATCACGTTTTAATTTTCCCGTCTGGCAAGTTTCATGGTCAGCATTTGGTAAGTACTCAAAGAATCCCAGCGCGTTGGAAATAATTACCGGCCTCGGGGGTCATTTCGTGACTCACTTCAGAGATATCATAAGCATCAATTAACATTTGTTAGCCCAACTGGCTTTTAACTAAACTAATAAATCTTCTTTTTTCTTCTTTCTTTCTTTCTCTTTATTAGATATGAAAAAAAGTACTCATGGAAAAAATTATCAAAAATATAATGTTTATGTAAAATATTGTTTAATAACAAATAAAAAAAATATATATAATTTTTTTTGTAAAAAGCAATTAAAAAGAAAAAAAAAGAGTAAAAAAAATTTTTTGATTCAGATATTGATGTTAAATTCTTATTTAGGAAGTAATTCCAGGTGGGTAATTAATTGAATTTATTCGATCTGTTGCTATATAGACGTGTGTTAAGTAATTAATAAGAGAATCGCCTTTCGTTAAATGTGTATATATGTATGTACAAAAAAAAAAAAGTATACACATGTTCAAATCTTGTCTCGAACGTGACGAGCATTTCACGCAGTGAGGAATATATAAACTGCGAGAATGGTGGTGTGTGGATTCAGGAAGAAACGAAGAAAAAGGTCGTTCATTTACATTTGACCACCTGACCGTATGCAAATTTTTTTTTCTTTTTTTACTAATAAAAAGTCATGCGAAAAAAAAAAATTCTTCATTAACTTTATAGACACATCTTTTTTAGAAAAATTTTTCTTTTTTATTATTTTAAAGAAACTAAAATATTCATTCATTTATTTTACTACTAGTTAATTTATTTTATTATTTTAATTTTTTTTTATTTCTGTTAGTTATTTTTCATTTTAATTATTTTTTATATCAGTTAATTATTGATTATTTTAATTAATTATTTAAGTTAATTATTTATTACCATGAAATGTAAAATTAATAAATATATTTACAAAAATTAATTAATTATTTAAATAATAGTTCTATAATAACAAATTCTTGTATACAGCAAATTTCAGTGAATAATTTCTTATATGAAATTAAATTTAATTAAATATAATGATAATTTAATTTAGTTGAATTTGCAAATTATTGAAGAACATCTTGTACGATCTTTTCCATAAAATGATAACAAGTACGCCCTATAAGTACGAAGTTTGCTGCTATTAGGCAAATGGATAAAAGATGTTAATTAAAGATAAATTCTAATAAGCTACAGTATCAGTTTCATTCTAGTCTTCTTGGTTTCATGATTATTTCCAGTCATTATAATAAATTAACACAATATGGAAAACATTGGTAAAATTACATTACTTTACAAAAAAAAAAAAATAGTTTTCTTTACTTGAAATTAAATTATTATCAATAAAAATAAAAATCGTAAAATTAATTTTTATTATAGTTTACACATTATAATTGAAATAAAAACTATTTAAATTACAAACAAACAAAAAAAATGAAATTTCTTACTTAGTTTGCAATTTAAATTTTAATTAGTGAAAGCAAGAGGAAACGAAGGACAAATTAGTGAACTCGCAAGTACAAGAAATGTTATTTCTTAATTACTGCGTGGGTGTATAACATCGTTTTGTCACTTTGTATTTTTTTTTCCTAAGTGTGAATTAATGGGAAAAAAATCACGGTATCAATTATTATAATTAATATTATTATAATAATAAATATATTTTATTATTATAATATTATTATTTCGAATAATAATAATTATCAATAATAATAAATTTGTTTTAGTTAAAAAGTAAAAAAAATTTTTTGGGTTTTTAAAAGTTGAAAATATTTTTTTCGGGAAATTTTTAAAATTCGATGTATATTATAAATTATAATTAAATAAAAAAAATTATTATGAGAAAGATTTCGATGATTATAAATATGTATCCGTAAGTAATTTACGTGGCAACTTCTACTGTTTTCTTTGAATAAAATTGATGTAAATCATCATAATTAGAACCCTCTCTCACTTCACTATGATGATGAATCATGCTCCCTATTTTTAAATTCATGTCTAAAAGCCTCTTATCTACATCGATTATATCTTTCAGATTACGTTGTTCATTAGGAACTAGATGTGAATTAAAAATTTGAATCTTTTTTTATTTATTTTTTTTTATAAAGAACCAAATGGAAGTTATATTGACATTTTTGGAAAATGATTTTTATAATACTATAAAGAGTCTTAATTTTAGAAAATGAATTTTTAATTTAGATTAAAGTATCAGAAACAGAACAAGAACTATTGGAGCAGAAACCATTTAAATAAAGTATATTCGAGATCTCATAAATTTGCATTTACAAGACTACCTCTTGGATCGCAGTTATGATAAAGGTTAGTTCAGTGGGGATACGAAAGTATTCATAAAAAATAGAAAGAGAGAGAGAGAGAGAGTATCATGAAAGTTACTTTCAATATTATCTTATCGTTCCTAATAGCTTAAGGCCTTAGTACTCGCTCGAGAATTTGTCGTTCTGGTGTCAGGAAACAATTTAATAATATTAGTTAATGATTCAATCGATAAAATTAATCGATATTTTCATTTTTTTACTCACTTACATTTTATTATTTTTCAATTTTTTATGTAGTTTAACTCATAATTTAATATCTTGAAAAATTAATCTCATATTGAGAGGAAAATTCTCAATTTTAGAATATTTTCTTTATTTTCGATATAGAGTATAATAAAAATTATCAAAGATTGAGGGAAAAACATTTTCAAAAAAAAAAAAAAAAAAAAAAATTAAATAAATATGAAAGAATGAGAATTGTTATACACGAAGATTTTGATGGCTTTTGTGAGTGGATAAAAAAATAGTTTACTTAATTTCCCAGATAGCCTGCATACCAAGAAAATTACTGGCATAAGAACCCTAAAACTCATGTAACACGCCTGGATGCATCTCAATTAAAATAATTACACTGCCCATATCCATTGGCCTTTGGCGAATATCAACCGGTTTTATTTTACGATCTAACTAAAGTCCATTTCATAAATTCTGTCGCTCGACTTTCACATTGCACAAAAATTACACAAATTTCAATATATGAGAATTATCCTTTCCTTTTGAGAATGCGTCTAATATATATGTTCTTCACCAAAAAAAAATCCGAAAGGGGAATTATTCTTGATTTGAGAGAAAAAAATCCTCTTGATTATTTTTTTCCAGATGTAAAAATTATTTAATTATTATTTCAAATAATTTGTTTCAAAATTTATAATTTAACTTTGTTAGTTAAATAAGAATTTAAAAGAAAAAAGTAGAGCATTTTCTCCATTTTTATTTTTAGAAATAATTTATAATTTTTCATTTCAAAATTTTAGATAATGTTTCCTTTTTTTCTAAAAATTTTAGTCTTGATTTAATTGAAATTTATTTTTTATTTCCTCGAAGGGGAAAAAAAATATTTTACTATATGAAGGCGAGAGAAGATTATTTATCGTTTTTAATCGAATGGTTTCGCATTTCTATAAAGAGAAATTATGATCATTTAATGAGGTAATTTTCACGATATAGACCTAAATAATGAGACGAATATAAAATATAAAATAACGGTTTTTTAAACTAGATGGAAAATATTCGCTTGCAATATGTCGCGCGCTTCTTTTCTGATCGAGCATTGTCATTCGAAAAAATGCGAGTCACTTCCCGGAACTTTTTTTTTAACACAAATTTAGATTAACTAAATTAGAATATATAATTAATAAATAAAAAAAAATATAATATATAAATAATTATAAATTTTAGTAGTACTTAATTAATTCCTAAAAGTCCTCTCGTATTAAGAGGATCCACTTTAATTTTGTACTAAAAACAAAAATCTCTTTCGCGAAATCCACTCATATTTAGAGGATATAATTTCAATCGGAAAAGAAAATTTTTTTAAATATTTGGTTTCAAAAAAATTTTTTGATTTTAAAATGAATAACTCACCATATAGATCAGCAAACGTAGCAACTTCCGCACCCCTAGCATCCTGGATGTCCCAGCCTCTCACGCTGAAACAGCTTTCCTGAAAAGAAAAAAAAAAGGAAATAAACAAATGTGAAAGGATTTTTTCTTCACAATTAGTCAAAGCCGGATCTATATATATATATATTTTTTTTTTTAATTCATTCAAACCATCATTATTATCATCATGGTCTAACGAGTAAATTAGCCAAGCTCACTTCACTTTATAAAAAGGACGCGGTTCAAATCATAAGGAGGTCTTGAGTACAACGAATTATAAATATAAATTTGATTCATAGTGAATGTCGAATCTAGAATTGAAGTAAGCATGACGTCGTTGAAAAGTGCCGAGAAATTGATTGTAGCCAATTATAGATTTGAAAAATAAAAATGATTTGTCATTTTATGCTGATTTGTCTATTTCATCAAGATTTATTATTTATAAAATTCAATTTCATTTTTTTTACAAATGTCTTCCTTAAAATATATTACACACCCATAAAAAAAAAATTCCTCTCAATATAAAACGATATAAAAAGGAATTCAGTATAAAAAAAAATTTCTCTAGATTACTAATTTCTATTTATAATTTTGATTACTAAATTCCAGTTTCACGAAAAGATATAATTTATATAAAAAATAAAACATATAAAATTATAAAAAAATATTTATTAATATTATTTGTGTTAAAATATTTATTTTCTTTGATATTAAAAAAAAGTTATTAATGTACTAAATTCTGATTTCCCGTTTGAAACTGTAATTGATAAAGTTTTTTTAAAAAAAAATTATAAACTTTAATTAAATAATGGGTAATAAAATAAAATCGAAAGTTTCCTTATATATCGAGAACCAGTGCTGAATTATAGAGAAATTTCAAGAATGCAAAATGAGTAAAGTTGTTATTGTCACGATTGTTCTTTTATAGTTACAGTTAATAATTTTTATAATTATTAATTTATGCGTGAGACCGAGTGCGATAATCATAAAGCATAATGGATGCAATAAGATGAAAAAAAAATATATATATAAAGATGAATGACGAGTTCTCATCGAAAGAACCTGACTGGACAACTTTTGATTATTATCAAACACGACTATTCAATCTTTTTTTTTTTTTTGAGTCTCGATCTCATTTCATCTGTTATGATCTCTACAAACTCCCACATAAATCATCTTCTTATCTATATATTGACATTTTTTATATTATATTAAAAAAAAAATTCTTTTTCTATTTCTATTTATTATTTCAATTAATTAGACTAAAAACGTAATTGTAAAATAGAAACTCACAAGAATGTTTTTTCATTCTTAAATTTAGTTTTAAAATCAATTTTGTAGCTAAAAAGGATACTAAAAGTCATTAAATGATAGAGGTATTATATAGAGGTATTATTTTCAGATTCAAGACCAGTTTCGCTTATCTTTTAATGCCTCGGGATTCATAAAATTAAGTAATAAAATTCGATTAATTACCTTCACACTCTTGATAATTTGTGGTAATGAAAGAGATAAATTTTGATCTTAAGAGCATAATCGCAAAGACTATTCTCTCAAAGTTACTTTGATGTTTTTAGGACAAATTATATTTTGGAAGTGATAATGGAAATTTTATTTTCGTTAAAAGCTATATTCTATAAACTTAAAAAATATTTATTGAATAGATGAGAATAAATTCTTCGTATTTATGCAAATAATGCCTTCGGTCAAAGATCTCATAAATTTTTTTTTTCTATTGTACAATTTATTTAAAAACAATAATTAATTAAGAAATTATTATTATTAATTTTTTTTGCTTATTTTGTTTGTTTTTTTTTGCTTTTGAATCATATGTGCGATTGGGACTTTATAAGAAAATGTTTCACACGAGGAAATAATCGAGAGGCGGGTTTAAAGCGGAAGAAAGGTAAGCTTATTAGACCATTGAATCGACTTAATTAATGTGCCATCGTACGTGTCTGATAATCATTTCCTTTTGTATATACTATGGGAATTGCCGCTGTACTTTCGATATGTATCGATATATTATTCATAAATTAAAAAGAAAAACAATATTTACACGATATTTCTTTACCATAGGAATTGTATTATTTAAAACAGTGGTACCAATGTTAACTAAGAAATAGAATAGGAAAATAATTTTATCAAAGTTGTATCAAAATATTGGTAAGTGGTACCAAGGTTTTAGAACCAAATGGCTATTGGTACCACCGGACTGATGCTAAAGAGGTATTGGTACCAGGGTTTTGGTACCCAAGTATTGGATCCAAACAGCTATTGGTACAATAGAACTGGTACCAAAATATTGAAATTAAATAGTTATTGGTAACAGACTATTTGTACCAGAGGACTGGTACCAAAAAGGTAATGGTATCAAAGTATTGGAGACAAACAGCCATTGGTACCATAGAATTGGTACCAAAATATTGGAACCAAATAGCTATTGGTACCAGAATATTGGTACCAAAGGACTGGTATCAAAAAGATGATGGTACCAGGTTATTAGTACCAAAATATTGGAACCAAGCAGCTATCGATAACAGACTATTGGTACCAGGGGACTGATATCAAATAGATAATGGTACCATGAGACTGGTAAACAAAAATTACACTTTAAATTCTAAGAACTGGTACCAAAAAGGTATTGGTACCAAAGAGGTTTTGGTACCAGAGTATTGCTATTAAAGTATTGGTATCAAATAGCTATTGGTACCACATAACTGGTAACAAAGTATTGGAACCAAACAACTATTGGTTTCACTCAGCTGGTACCAAAGAGGTATTGGTGCCAGACTATTGGTACCAAAAAGATAATGATACCAGGGTATTGGTACCATAGTATTGGTACCAAAACGATAATGATACCAGAGTATTGGTACCAAATATTGGAACCAAACTGCTATTGATGCCAGACTATTGGTACCAGGGTATTGGTACCAAAAAGGTAATGATACCAGGGTATTGGTACCATAGTATTGGTACCAAAGTATTGGAACCAAACTGCTATTGGTGCCAGACTATTGGTACCAGGGGACTGGTACCAAAAAGATAATGGTATCAGGGTATTGGTACCAAAGTATTGGAACCAAACAGCCATTGGTACCATAGAACTGGCACCAAAATATTGGAACCAAATAGCTATTGGTAGCAGAAGACTGGTATCAAAAAGATAATGGTACCAGGGTATTGGTACCAAACATATATTGATACCATAGTGTTGGTACCACTGGACTGGTACCAAAGAGTTATTGTTACCAGAGTACTGGTACCAGGTTTGTTACAATATATTTGTATACTTAATAACAATAAGTGTAACGATTATAAAAAAAAGTATCAACAAAAGAAGCACCTGATTATAAAAGAAAGATGGGTTTAGAATAAACATAAATAAAAATAAAAGAAAAAATATTCATTATACTATTATTGAGATTGATGTTATAGGAAAATGCTGAGAGGGGAAACATGAGAAGAATATATCTGCGAGTGAGAAGAAGTAAGCTATATATTGTATATATATATATATACAAATGCGGTTAACGCAGATGCTGCGTGGAAAGGCGTGGGTTACGTTCGGAAGTTATCGAATCGTATAACGTGTTGCAGCCGCAGGAGCCGGCTCAATCCTGATTTCAAGCTTGTTCGCGGCTCGTTAAGTCGACTCTGTTTTTACCGCATTGAATGCATCATTGCTCAGCCATTTGCAATGACATTGATCGTCAGGTCCTGGAGAGAGAGAGCACGTGTATATTGCAAAGGCATTGATTTCAAAAGAGTCGTTCAGGAAAATATCGAGGGCGAGAGTCTCGTAAAAACAATCTCATTGGAACCAACAACATATAAATTTTTATTTTTATACACGTTTCTCCAATCATTGCTAAACAATTATTACCAAAAGTAAAATAAATAATAACAATTCTATTATCATTGTTTTTATAGAAGTAATAATAATAATAATAATAATAATAATAATAATAATAATAATAATAATAATAATAATAATAATAAATATAATAATAATAATTATAAAATTTTCTCGAGATAATATGTTGAAAATTAATTTGAATGGAAATTTTCTATATGAAATAAACCGGTATTGTTATACAATGTCGATTGTTTAATGGGGCTATTAATTGCTGCCAATTGAGTGATTATATGACGATATCAATTGCTCGGCTATCTTTCATTATCGGATTCATTGCAAATATACTTTCTTCCAATATATATATATAAAGACATTCCATGGAGATATATATAATTATACACACGTGTTTTCTTTTAAAATGGTATAAGTTGTATATATAATATTACGACTAACATATGTGGTATAATATACTTCCTTCATGATTAACCCGGTTATGCACTTGTGCAGCATTCATATATATATATAACTTGTAAGAAATATTCACATCAATGTCCGTGCGGGAGATCGTAAAACTGTTTGGAAAAATAGGATGTTCTATTACGAAGAAATTATGTTATTAGGCTTTTTGAAACGCATGAGAAAATGCACAGTTCAAGAGTCTCATCATAATAATGAAAAAATTTTGCTTTTTTTTCCATTATTATTATTATTATTATTATTATTATTATTGTTTTTTTAAATAACTTTTTAAAACAATGCTCGCTATTTATTGCTTTTTTTAAAAACTATTTATGAAAGACTATATTAATTTTATAGAGCTGTTTAAAAATAATATATTCAACGTATAATAAAAATAAATTAACAATAATAAATATAAAAAAAAATTATAATATAATATTATAAAAAATGTATTAAATATATAAAATAGAGTACATAAAATTACGTAAAAGTTAATTGAAAATTAAATATTATTAATTATTAACTATTGTTAATTATTATTATTAATTAATTAACTAATATTTAATAATTTACTGTTATTAAGTAATTAACTAATAATTAAAATAGTTTTAAAATAAAATATTTTTAAATTAAGAATTTTTTTCTACTAATTTATATATGTAGTATTGTTATATAATGATCGCTAATTGACGATAATTAAGCATTAATAATTATGCATATACTTGTGATTCAAAAAGGTA